CATGTGTGTGCGTGAGAGAGAGTTTGTGTGTGTCTCAGAATGAGCAGCAGAGGGTTTTGTGGTGTGTTTCTCTGCAGCGTGAGAGTAAATGTGGACAGAGTTCAGGACAGTGTGTGTTCTCAGAGCTGGGATATAGTACCTGCTGTGTGAGTATGGGACATGTGTTTATGTCTTTATGCCTCGGCTATCTGCGCTTTGCTTGCAGGTCTCTAACTTGTGCAGCTGCATCAAACAAAGTCGGTTCCCACATCGGACAAAAATCGATACCGCTTTGCTTTGGTCCGACCTTGAACAGAGCCCGAATCTGCTCCATGATTTGCATTTTGCGCCTGGCAGATTTCCACCGAAAACGTTACCTATGATTTAATTGATCCTGTTTATTTTAATATTCCGGTTGACACTTGTGTATTCCTGCCCTGCATTTATTTCAGTGGACAGCCTAATTGGGCCTGCGGATAGGCCGGGAGGGGGCTTTAATGATGTAAAACAATAAGGCTGAAGTCAGTGCTGGTAAGCTGAAGCAGTGTAACTGTAAAGGGATACTTCGGCTCCCCACCAGCAGGCTGTTGTGCAAAGGGGCCGTGCGCGTCTCATTAACAGGATCACTTTACAACCAGTCAAACAAATAGGTCATTATCCACCAAAGCCTGTTCTGCCTGCATGTAACCATCGACAAACACACACGTTTTTATCATTCAGTCTTATTACATTTAAATTATATTGTTACCGGCCTGTTTTTTAATCATCTGGCTTGATGAGACTCGAAAATGACCTGCTTGTTTTATTATGTTCATTTGATTTAGAGTTCATACTTGTGATGTAAATCTCAACCATTGATACACACTGGCAAGCGTACATATCCAGTCTGAATTTGTCCTAAGTTCCTGCAATTTCTGAACCTTCGCAGCTGTGGACACCAATTGGACATTAATAGCCTAAAGCATAATAATGTGTTTATCCGTATAAACACATAGGCTATCGTTTGAGAATTTATTTGAACTTTTTTTAGTTTAAAAATAGTCCACATTTTGATAATATGACCCGTTAATTAATATAACTCTATCAATTTAAATAATTTAGGCTAGATTAAACTAAGCGAACTATAGTAGCCTAAACTATAGCTTCTTTTAAACTTCCTCTTATGTGATTCAGCCTTCGTCACACGTATGTACCATTAAGGACATACAATATGTCCTCTCCAATCCCATATCTGCCAGGATCCTAGTGGGGAACGGTGGTCCCGCTTTTGGCCACCTGCCCAGCGACACCTGGTAAACGATACGGCCCCTCTGCGCCTGCGTAATAGCCTGCCAAAAATCCCAACGCCGTATCGCCTGTCAACCAATAGTGTTCCAATCTGTCCACAGATAAAGTCAGAACAGCGTGGAGAGGAGTGAAGTCAAGTGGAGGATTTCAGACCAGAACAGCACCGTCAGAGAGAAAGAAAGAAAACATGCCGAGGTCTTTCCTGGTGAAGAGTAAAAGGGCCCACAGCTACCACCAGACCCGGTACCTAGAGGATGACTACAGTAGACTGGACACTATTCTGGCTCACGTGTGCACAGGTAGGTTCATTTGTGCGTAATTACGCACGAAAATGTTTGAACAACGCTAGCAATAGCGATTCGTACCCCTTGGAAAATATTCCGTTTTTGGTATAATTAATTTCGTCTACTTAGACATCAGTTTCACAGTCAGTCCGTGACATTGCTCTCCTCTGCTGCCATCAGAGACCAAATCTCAGAGGGAGTTTGACTCCAACTTGCAACCGCAGGAGGATGTGACCGCAAGCGCTGACAGACTTTCCCTCGGGTCCAGGCTGCTGTCCCCGGGGTCGCTGTCCTCCAGCTCGCCGCTGAGCTGTGAAGGCAGCGTGTGTGACCGATCCTCCGACTGTGATTTCTGGCGTCCCCCGTCTCCCTCCTCATCACCAGGTCTGTGTCAGAGGAGTATTAAAAAGTACAAAGTCTGTTATTGTTAGGCCTATTTGAATTATGATAGTGTCAATATTGTTGGACCAGTGAGCTTATATAATTTTTGTTAAAAAGTAATTTTCAACAGTTGCCATTTATCCATATCAGATTCATGATTTATTTTCATCACTTTTAACACTCATGTAACCGACTGATTGCCATGATGGAGAACAAAGATCAAGCGCATTGTCATGATTTGGGAGTCAAAATAGGGGCATCCAGGAATATGCTATGTTCACTGATAGGCCAACCTTTGAAATCTGCATGTACTAATTTATTTAACTGAGAAAAAAGTAAAATATCTCGCCGGTCATTACATTTCTTACACACAAATAACTATTTTGTAAATGTAAGGTTCATCATTTTGATGCGGGCGCTTCAAGGTTTCAGTTGGTTATTTTAGTCTAAAATTAGGCTACTATTACGCATGTCATCTAATCATTTCCAGTAAGGCCCATTTGCAGTTTGCACTCATTTGTCCAAACCAAATCAACTTCCAGATTCAGAGAAATGCCCCACTACAGCAGCGGAGGACGGCCAGCACTTCAACATCCCGCTCTTTCCTTACTCCTGGACAGCGTACTCCGGCTCTGAGCTGAGGAATCTGGTTCCGGGGCCATATCATCACCACCTCCAGGGCCACAGGGAGGTTCACTCACCTGTCAGCATCTACGGTGCGGAGGACAGCGGCACCGAGCCGCTTTACGCACAGCGGGGCACGGTGTCCGGATCCTACCAGGATTATTCTTCAACGGTCCACCAAATATGCAGGATGCGGGACGGAGACGAGCTGTATGTGGATGTAAAGCAGAAGCCCCGCCGGGCGGAAATCAAGTCTGAAAGTGACTTAATTTGCTCTAACATAGAGTCAAGCGGATCCTATAAATGCATTAAATGTTGCAAGGTACGTTTACCAATGTTTACTGCGGCGTTACCTTACCAAACCTGTAAAAGTTCTATTGTTTTAATATTTTTTGAGTTTGCAGAGATGTTACAAATGATCTTAGTGATTGTAAGTGTGTTTATTGGTGATCGGGGCATAACATCAAGTTTAACTTAAATTTAAACCATATTTAGTGGCTGGGAATGAGATGTAAATCGTTCTCAAATTGAAAAATAAATAGTCGTTTTTTAAAATTTTGAGTTGAATTTCGAAGTAAAAATGTCTAATATCTATTTTTCCAAAAGGTGTTCTCCACACCTCACGGGTTGGAGGTTCATGTGCGTCGGTCGCACAGCGGGACGCGGCCGTTTGAGTGCGGGATCTGCGGGAAAACCTTCGGACACGCCGTAAGCCTGGATCAGCATAGAGCGGTTCACTCGCAGGTAGGCCTCTAACTGAAAATAAACTGTTGCATAAGTTGCTTTGCAGACTCAAAGGCCCACATCCTGGAAGCAAGGCCCCGGATAACTGGGGTTTGGCCACCACAACTCCAGTCTGATTTTTCAGGCCTGCTTTATTTCTGCGGTTTAATGTAGGCCTAATGTTTTGAGGCCTTCCACACTGACACTTTACACATTTTACAGGAAAGGAGCTTCAGCTGTAAAATCTGCGGCAAAAGCTTCAAGCGCTCCTCCACGCTGTCCACGCACCTGCTCATCCACTCGGACACGCGGCCCTATCCGTGCCAGTACTGCGGGAAGAGGTTCCACCAAAAGTCAGACATGAAAAAGCACACTTTCATCCACACAGGTGAGACACCGTGCAAACTGAAAGCATCGACAGGCCTAAATGCAAAAAAGGCCTTTCCGTGCGTAATGCGTATAAATGGCTCTGCTCTGACATTTCGTTTTCTCCTGCAGGTGAGAAGCCGCACAAGTGCCAGGTGTGCGGGAAGGCCTTCAGTCAGAGCTCCAACCTCATCACGCACAGCAGGAAACACACGGGCTTCAAACCTTTCGGCTGTGACCTCTGCGGGAAAGGTTTCCAGAGGAAAGTGGACCTGAGGAGACACAAGGAGACGCAGCACGGACTCAAATGAGCAGACGTCGATGATTGCGCCCAAAATCCTGCACTTTTAAAGCCCCCCCGACTATGCTAGTGTTTTTATTTTATTCTATTGTTTGTTTGTTGCATTGGCCTATACTTTCTCTATTGTTATTTTAGCCTGAGATATGCTGGTTGAGTTTATGGAAATAAAAGTTTATTTATCGAGTTTGCTTTTACATTATTATTAAAATGAAAAAGCCAAATGCCCTAAACTACTGGTTTCCATAGGAAAGTTTTTGTAATAGCCTGTATACAATTTGAAATGAAATATCACTTTTAAATAACCAAATCCTTCTTTTAGAAAGTAGACATCCTGCTTTTTCAACTTATTCAATTTGTTATGTAATCAGGGTTTATACATTAACTTTTAGAGCTCAGCTGTCAGTTTTTTCAAGTTAGGAATTGACCAACCTTTGGTTTCAATCCATCTACATTTCATTCCTTTCTACATGATATAATAAACAGTGCTCATGATAATTTTTATTAAAGTTTAACACATTTAAAAACAAAAAATCCCTCTCCCTCAGCTCATTGATTGTTGGTACACTGTGAAAAACAAGAAGCTGTGTTAAGCCATGCAGGCCATCAATCACGTCCCCAATCTGCATGACAGGTCAGTTATATCACCAATATTAAATAGAAACGTTTTGTTGGGCACGCCATCTGGTCAAAGCCAAATATTTTCAGACACGCGCATTGTTAACATACCCATATAACAAGTGACATTATGGTGCCATAAAGCTGCATGTGAAGGAAGTCTGGTGTATTCGCTTCACCTTTTTATGACAGATCTTCCAGCTTGCAGAAATAATAACCAGCATGTCCACATGCCGTTTTCACTTGGAAAAGCTGGGTGTGATTTATTTGGTTGGTTAAACATCCAGGGCTCTAAAACTTCAAGGATCTGATTTGGAGATATCGAACCACAGATTGTGTGCAGTAATGCTGCCATGCCATGTCAGCAGCAAAAGGACATGTGGACTCCACTCCTATAAGTTAAACTTCATAAACACTTATACAAATGAGATGAGCTTTTGTTTTAAAAGTTATATATACACAACTTTATTTGTGGAAAACAAGCATACCCACATCTACTTTATTAAGTCAGAGATCCTGAGTGTATATGCATCATTCATGTGTTCATGTCTGGCAGAGTGTGTGTGTGTGTGTGTGTGTGTGTGTGTGTGTGTGTCAGAGTGCTGGGGTTTTAAACAGCCGGACTAAGTTCAGAAGGTCCTGCTCCTGGAGACCGAGCTCCTCCATCAGTGTGTTTAAATACTCCACTGATGCTGGCGTCTTCAAGGATTCCTGCACCACCGGAGAGACCTCTGACAACCTGAGACAAAAAATCTTAAAGTCACACACAGTCTGACCAGGCCAGTGTTGTTACAGATTCCTATAACATAACAGACTCCAGAACAAAAATAGAACATTCGTACGCTCATAAATATATTTTCACTGAATACACAAGGACACACTTCTACAGTGATTATCAAGACTTTTAAGCTGTTATGTTCTTATTTAAGCCACACGTTCTGTCACTGTATTGACCAGGTTTCATGTTGTTCCAAAAGAAAAGAGGTTTACGGAGTCATATGGATGACTTTGTTGAGTAAAACACATAAAGTCTTTTCAAAATGACCAGTCCATGAAAGTTTTTACTCAGCCAAGATATCCAGATAACTCAGTAAACCTGCTTTGTTATACCCCGAATCATCCAGTAATATCTAAACTTCATCCAAAAACCTGACAGACTGAGAGCAGTGAAAGTTTATATATTTGTTATTTTTCGTTGTTGTAAAATCCTCACAAAGATGCACATTAAATACTCTCTTCTAATAACCTAAAACGTTGACAATGCCCCATGCACACAACATCAGGCTGACTTCACTTTCACCTTCAGCCAAGTGTATGTTTTAGATTTGAGTGTGATTTTGGCTACTAAGTGTAGAGTACAATCAGTTACCAATTTATTAGGTACACCTAGCCACAGTGCTGCAATAAATCCTACCTTCATGGATTTAATAATGTTTTAGATTTAGATAATGTTGATTCAACTTTAGGGTTATGTTGGAGGCTGAAGTCTGGTGAACTGTATTGTATTATAATCAGAGGTTTTTCTAATATTTTGTACACATTTATATCATCTGCGTGTATGTTCCTGGACATTATGAAGTAACGCTGAATTTCACATCAGTACAGAAACTGTGTCAGGAGCTATCAAATCAGCACAGACCAACAATCCAATGGGAAGAGTGTACACCTCTAGCTCTAAATCCATTGCTTGCAACCTCTGAGCTGATCTCTGTCACCTCTCTAACCCCCATCCCTCTCCTCCTCCCTCCCCCTCATCCCTCCTCCTCTACCTGTCCTGTCTACCTGTGTGGAGGTGCACTGCTGGTTAATCTCCGGTTCACCCCGAGGTCTAGTGTTTCAGGGGGTGCATCCATTATTCAGGTGGCCTGAACAATAGAGGCCAGACTAGCTCCACAGCTGCCATGCAGCAGATAGATAAGACAGCACACCAAATTATTCATGATGGAGGAATGGAAGGATGGAGAAGCTTTAAGTTAAATGGGAGCTAATGAAATCATAGAGTGCCCGTGGGTTGTGACAACGAGAATAAATGTTTCCAAAAGGGCCAATTATCAAAGAAAGATAAAAATAAAACCATAAGACTGTGCAACCATTCACAGCATTATCTAAACATGCACTAAATACATGTAATTACGTGGTTCATCAGGTTAGATAAAATCAAATCTTACATAGAAGTGGTTTTAAACTTTTATCACTGATCATTAACCATCATTACAAGTGCACAGAAAAACAAATCCTGTCTCCTGTTTCCAAAATAGGTTTAAAACCCAAACTCTTTTCAAAATATTTTCATCCCACAAACATTACTGAGCATTTAGGATGATTTTACATAATCAATTTAACCAGAGGTATTTCCAAATTTGACTATGACAATATCATTTAACTGAAAAACTCCAGTTTGTCCTGAATAATTTAAAGGTAATTTCAGTAATCTCACTTTTGCAAACTAATAATTTATATGTACTGCTGTTTTAGGGAGGACTTTGCAGTCACAAGGCTGCATTGCTTTAAGAGTTTGTTACCAAGTGCACCTTACAGTGAACAACACACTCTATTCTTTTGTTAAGTTCAAGAGAGCTCACAATGCAAGTTATGACATTGATGCAAACTGACCTGGGGCCACTGAGGGAATCATAAATCAGAGTTAGTCGGGCATCAGGTGAAAGTTTTCCCAGCCGGGGCATGTTAAAGTGCTCATTTAACTCGGATGTATACTGTGGAACTAGTGTGTGTTTAACTTGAGTGTGTACAGGGCTGCTTGTGTGTGCCGTCTGTCCTGCATCACGGATCTGGAGAGGGGCAATCAGGTGGAGATAAGGCCATGAAGCGTCTGTGTGTACTTAGACGGGAGCAGCACGGAACTGTCCATGAACTGCCTGCACGTACACACGCACGCACACACACCATATAGTCTCTTGTCAATTCACCATGAAGCTTTGAACCTGAAAGTGAACCCAAGTCACAGTTTATGAAGTTTACTTTTTTTCAGATTTGAATGAAGAACAGAGTAGTTTATGCTTGATTGCATTGATTTGAGCACAGTATCAGTCTGTTAATCTATCAGAAACCTACAGCAGAATACCAATATAATGTCAGCTTTAGTTCCAATATGTATATATGGATTTTTTTCACCCCATCATGTCTTGCATCTTTAAAGCAATTATTGCATTGTAGTTGTGGCTGCTGTTTATTTCAGCTTAAGCTCCAGTTGATGGGGAAAACACTTTATTCATGTACTCACACACAAACAGTTACACACCCAGGTGACAGCATGTATTTCCTAGGAAACAATGGTCTTTCATTTCCATGTCATATTTCCCCCCCTCTCTCACTAATCTCCTCTACAACTTGGCTGGCTGAGGAGCAGACTGTCCCGCTGTATCCTCTTAACACCTGACACATTCACACACACTGTAAACTTACAGATGGAGAAGCACAATGGCTAAGAGGGTCCACTCGGGAGTTTTGTGGATGATGTTCGTGTTGGTTAACCTGTGACGTTAAGAAAAAACAAAACAAAAGTGAGCAACATTCTCTGGGGCAGGTGTCAAAAATCACCTGATAAGTAAACCAGGGAAATAAAATGTGCACAAGGCCGGACCAACGACCACAAACACTGGCTGCAATAGTGCAGTGATGTATGTTTCTGCCAGAGTGTTGTGTATATTCTTTGGTTTGAGCCTCTTGTCAACGGGGCCTCTGACAGCAGAAAAGAGAATTCCTGGAAGCAGGATTCAGGAGGTGTTGCTCACCACAAAGTGATTTAATAGCACTCCTGTTGAAAACATCCTAACCAGCCAATGGGAACACAGAGAATGTCTATGGCAGGAAATGGTCAATCTGGTACAAGTTTTTTTAATAAACTGCTATAGTGTCTTCTACCAGGCAAGGAAAATATTTATTACATTTATATTATATAACAAATTCTACACCAAAACGCTATAGTAAAAACACACACACACACAAAAAGGGCAGAAATTAAAAACCTTGGCCCACCCACACTGGTGTTTCACTTATTTTGTCTAATATACTGAACAAAATTAAAGACACAATACTTCTCTACGTACACAAAAGGCCTATTTCTCTCAAATATTGTTTACAAGTCTGTCAAAATCTGTGTTACTGAGAACTTCTCCTTTGCAGAGATAATCCATCCACCTCACAGGTGGGGCATATCAAGATGCTGATCAGACAGCATGTGTAAAAAATGTACAGTTTCACTGTTATGGGGAGGGTTCGGGGGGGTCCGGAAACCAGTCAGTATCTGGTGTGACCACCATCTACCTCACACAGTGCAATAAAGGTTGTTGATTGTGGCCTGTGGAATGTTGATCCACTCCTCTTTAATGGCTGTGCGAAGCTGCAGTCAGGTCAAGATCCCGATGAGGACGACGAGCATGCAGATGAGCTTCCCTATGCAAACTGATTGTGGCAGTAGCTGCCCGGGTGGCTGCTCTCAGACAATCTTGGAGGTGAAGATGCTGGGTGTGGAGGTCCTGGGCTGGTGTGGTTACACGTGGTTATATATTTTGTGTACATAGAGAAAGTCTTAGATCTTAGATAGAGTTCAGCTCATGATGAATGGGGGCAGAAACAAAAGTGTTGAGTTTATAATTTTGTTCAATGTATTACTGGTTCGTGAAGTTTGGTGACCTCATGTAATTCCAGCATAGCTCTCCCCATCTTGAACCTGAGCTGAGGTGTAATCAAGTGATCAGTAAAGTGGTAACAACTGTGTAGGTGTACAGTGCCTTTAAAAAAACAACAACAAACATTTGTAACAATGTGTGTAGTGTATGCAACAAACTACAAATTACCTAGAAATGGAAGAATGTGTCCCTGAACAAAAGAGGGCTCAAAATCAAAAGTAACAATCAGTATCTGGTGTGGCCCTGTGGTTCTGTGCAGGTGTTGTCACATGTGGTCTGCCACTGTGAGAACCATCAGCTGTCCTTCCTGTCTTACCGTAGTGCCTTCTTAGGCATCTTACAGTACAGACATTGCAATCTATTGCTTTGGCAACTTCAGCAGTACTAATGCCTCCTTACAGCATGCCTAAGGCACGTTCACGCAAATGAGCAGGAACCCTGGGAATCTTTCTTTTGGTGTATTTTAGAGTCAGTAGAGTAGGTCTCTTTAGTGTTCTTAGTTGTGATTTACTTGCCTACCGTCTGTATGCTGTTAGGGTCTTAACGACTATTCCACAGGTGCATGTTCAATGATTGTTTATGGTTTATTGAATAAGCATGAAAAACTTTGTTGACGCTCTTTACAATCAAGATCTGTAAAGTCATTTGGATGTTTACAGAATTATCTTTAAAATACAGTGTCCTGAAAAAGGAATGCTTCTTTTTTTTTTTTGCTGGGTTTATGTGTAATGATACGATGTATGGATGTAAATGTGAAATGTATGTGATTAGCCAACAGCAGACATTTTGACTTGTCATAGCAAGGAAACCACAGGAGTTACTAATCACTTTAAGTGATGGCTGTGTTACATTTAAGTGTCCCAGTTAGCTAGCATGCACTAAAGCACCTAAATAAAATATAGCCATAATTAATATTATTAACTTTAACTGCGCTTTTCCTGCTATGACATTTCAAGGTGTTGCTGTGAAAAAGGTCTATAGACAGTTAATTAAATTCCTCTTGTTGTCGTGTGTCATGCCTACCTTTAGGGGGCACCACCGTTCATCAAATCTTCCCCCAATGTCATGGAATTTAAATAAACTATTTTTTAGTACACTCTACTTTCTCTCAGACTATTACAGGGATCTCATGGAGATTAGTTGCATGTTTGTGTCAGTGCTAGCAGAAGGTTGCAGATCACGCTGGTTGGCAGATTAGTTGTTTTTCTCTGCACCAAGAAGAAAAAAAACATACTCTGGAGAAATAAGAAATATTTCTTATTTCTCCAGAGTATGTTTTTTTTCCTCAATGATGAACGAGTTTCAGTAGGCTAAATGTTGCAATTACTTACTTATTAGTATCATTTAAATTAAGAATAAAGCCTACATATGCTTATATGATACATACATTATAAGGGAATGACAAAATCCCCCAAAAGCTTCCAAGATGTCAGTGAAGGTTCTCAATCATCTTGCTCTCAAGACAGCACAACAAATCCAATGTTGGGATCCACCTTACTAATTTCTATACAATAACTATAAAGTCCCCATCTCATGAATATAACAAGATGTCTGTCCTGTGGGTCATGGTATGGAAGTCAGTTTCACTAATTATTACAGGACTGGGAGGGGACCGGGGAATGAGTCAATAAGGCGGGACGGGTATCATAGGTCCATTTTTATATATGAATATGCATTTCTTACATGAATAAACGCTATTTTCTGGGACAGGGAAACAGGAGTCATTCTTCCAGGATTGGGACAGGCAGTAGTATTTTTGTGGGAGTGGAATGGAACAGGAGTGAAAATCCTCAATGTCACCCTCAATTGCAGCTATTGGCTCTAGTCCTGTACCTTTAAATGTGTTGATGTGAACCATGATGCCCCGTCAACGTAGAGTTGTCTGCCTCCACAAGACGTTAAAAACAATTTTTTGTGACACATGCCGTGTAAGCATGCTAAAATGATGAGATGAGAAAATGATGAGTGTGTGTGTGTGTGTGTGTGTGTGTAACGTTTTGCAAGCAGATCTGCAGAGAGTAGTGTGTATTTGTGTGTGCTGCACTAACCTGAAAGTCCTGACCAGGTTATTCAGGTCAGTGGAGACGTCACTCATGGTGAGACCCAGAGAACCGACGATGATTCTGAGGCTGCACAACACAGAGACAAAACGATAGGGGACAAAGAGTGACAAATACAATAGAAATTCAAGAATGTCACTGCCAGGGCTCACAGCTCGATTAACACGTTAATAACTACATGGTAAATTGGTTTGAACATAGTATCTCTGGATTGGCAAAGCTATGTTTTACCAGCCAAGCTACAAACATGACCTACTGTATATGTTCACAGCTGAAAACACACATAAATAAATAAATAGACAGAAGTTTTTTGGGTATACATGTACGTAGGTGTCCACAACATGAAACACAATTAACACACACACACACACACCAGCTGGTGAGCTTCTCCACTGTGATTCGTTTCCGGATGACGTGCTGAGCATGAGAGTCAAGGAGTGGCAGAACCGGGTCCTTCAGGCTCTGGTCCTTCACCTGGTGGGGGAACGAACAAGATGTGTTAGTGTTGGAAAAGCAAACCTGAGCGCATAAACACATTTTCTACTGTTCCAATCAATATTTTTAATATAGTGCCTCCACGTGTCCCTTCATTCCAACCCTCTTCTCTTTTTCCTCCACTCACCTTGTTTCCATCTGGCTCCTCCACCCCCTCAGGCAGGATCCAGGTCCCCTTATAAAACTCCCTGACTCTTAGCTCCAGCTGCCGGTTCTCCTCCTGAAGAGTCTTATAGTCTGGAGTTGCGGCAGACGGTCTCTTCTGCACCGCAGCATCATCCCCCTTTGCATCCTCATCGGTCACCTCATCCTCAAGGTCATCTTCATCCAGCTCCTCCTCTTCTTCAGCTTCTTTGTCTTCTTTAACGTCAGCAAAAGGAGAGCCTAGTGAATGCTTAGCGCCGTACAGGAACTTCAGGGTCTCGTCAGTGCTCCAGTCCTTTAACGTTCTTCTCAGGCACTCGAGGAGATTCAGGCGGACAGATTCAGGTTCGGCTCCAGCGGTGTGGTTCTTGAGCAGATCTCGTAGCCCTGCTGCCCCTCTCTTGCTCATTCCCACCTGGGTGATGTTGAGACCTGGCTGGCTGGTCAATGCGGTTTTGTGGTCGTCCCATTCCGCGTTGATCGGAGTTGAAGAAGGGAGAGGTTTGCTTTCTGTTGAGGGGTTTGAGTCTTTACACACTGGAGAGGTGAGTAGATCTGCTTGTGTGGCTGTTGAGTCAACAGGCAGGGGAGCAGTGCGAGTGCCAGATAAACTGCACAAATTCAGCTTAGCTGCAGCCTCTTCCACACTGAGTTCCTGAGGCAAGCCTTTCTGCTCTGGCCCCTGCTCTGCACATGGTTTGTCTTTGTTTAATAAGAGCAGCTGTTGGGGTTTTTTAGAGTCAGTTCCAGCTTCTCTTTGACTTGAAAGTGACTCTTGTCTATTCTTGTCTTCTCTCATTTTTCCCTCCCTTTCTGGGTCCCCTCCTTGATGACACTCAATCTCCTCTTCATCTCCCTCTCTTGTCTGTTTCTTTTGCCTCTCTGTCTTCCCTCGTTCACCATTCTTGTCTTCATCTCTACGTTTAGGCAGTTCGCCCCAGTGCACCTTGGGTCCCTGATGCTGGGAAACCACGCTGGAGACGAAGTCCTGCTCCTGTTCAATGTCACTGCTTTCACTGTGGCTTAGGTCTGCTGCTGCGGAATGCTGCAGAGAGCTGGGAGGGTCCTCAGATTGAGCAGAGAGCGGGTCGTCGATATCCTCCTCTTGAAGACGCCTCTCCAACAGCTTCACCTCCTCACCAGAACTCCCGCTGGAGACACAGAGGTTACACTCAATCAGTCTATTTATTATAAATCAGTCTATTTATTATAAAACCTATATTACATCTAGAAATTCAAACACCTAAAAATGCATATTATTTATTATTTAGTTGAATCATCTCTAAAAAACAGATATATCCGATATGTTGCTATTTACTTTGAATGGAATATTTAAAATGAGTTAATACATACCCATCTCCTTTCTTCATCAATCTAATTTCTGGAGGACTGTCAGTGGGAAATAAAGTAAATACTCTTTAAAAAATAAAAATCTTCAGTGATAAATTCATCGTGCTTTAGGACGAGACACGAACAGCATACGTACCTTTCATGCTGCCTGAGCCAAAGAGGTGTGTTCGGTATTTGTAACTCAAACTCTTTGGAGGCTTTGTAACAGAAGTTACTACAAAAACACTAATCACAAGAGAGAAATGCAAAATAATCTTTATTTGATCATCTTTTATTGTTTCTTCAAAAGTAAATGGATTAATGTGTAAATGTTACACTTACCTTGCGCTCTGTAATGTCATACACCTTATTGGTCTTAGTAGAAATTTTATACCGTTGAGTTGGGATCTAGAAAATGAACAGTAGCAGAGAGTCTTGAGAAAACACATTAGAAGCATAAAATATATATTGACACAAGGACATTTATTATTTGTATAAGACCATAAAGGCTGATAGAAAGGGTCTTACCTTGCCCAGTTTATTTGAACATATGGGATAACCACACAGCTTAGAAATGAATCTCTCCTCTATAGCGTCTTTGTAATTTGCAGGAGTAATGAACTTCACCTGTGAAGAAAGGAGACATGAGGGTCAAACCTGAACCTCAACAGTGAAAACCTAAGATTCTCAAAGTATTTATTTCCATGGTATTTAAATTCTTGGTGATTTAAAAACACAGCACAAGGGCAGCTTCCTCCAAAACTGAACATATATCTGTCTTGTCATGGCTGCCTCTCACTGAGTGAGCAGAAACCTTAAAAATCAGTACTTGACAGGGGAAATTACTTGTTGGTCGACATCTGAACAGAAAAAGACTTCACTGCGTCTTGAAGAGAAAACTTAGATGTAAGAGTATGGATTTAAAATTTAAAATGTTATTATCTCACTGTTACTTTAGGTCACAATTTTTTAAGCCTCACCTGTACTGATGTTAACACTATAATTAAAATTAAAAAAATGTAGTCTGATCCATGTCCTTTGGATAGAAACACTTTAACAATCAACATGGGAAAGGCTCCTCAGTCAGGATTAGAGATTCAATGATTAACCGATTAGTTGTCAACTGTTAAATTAACTGCCGACTATTTTCATAACCAATTATTCGTTTTGAGTGATTTTTTTAGAAAATAACAAAAAAATTCCCTGATTCCAACTTCTCAAATGCGAATACTTACACTTTCTTTACTCCTCTATGACCGTAAACTGAAGATCTTTGGGTTGTGGACAAAACAAGACATTTTAGTGATGTCATCTTAGGGTTTGGGACACACTGATCGACATTTTTCACCATCTGATGCACCAAATAACTAACTGATTAATCATGAAAACTATCGACTGATTAATTGATAATGAAATTATTCGGTAGTTGCAGCCTTAGTCAGGATGTTAATGGACAGCAAATGAAATTGACACCGAACCAGACAGGCAGAAAAGAAAATTTCTCTTTCAAGTCACCCTGTAGTCTGACTGTAGACCATGGACAATCCCATAGATTTCTGTTGGTGTGCTGCAAAAGTGGCCTCAGATGGTACATACACAATCAATCAGGAAGTCCTCGGCCACACTGTCCTCCTGAAGACGCTCCACTACCTTCAGGGCTCTCTTCTCCAAGTCCAACTTCTGCCATAACGTCTCCCTAACCACCTCTCGCCTGACACAAGACAGAGAACACACATTTGGGGTGAAGGGTTGTCACCTACTGACACTACTACAACTATCTCTAGAAAACTGATTAAACTCGAGAGGGAGAAATATTCTACAGAAGCGCATTGCATTCAACTAAGATTTTTCTTTTTTTTTTTTAAACCTCTTATATCGTAATTATGAGAAATGATCTCATAATTACTAAATCAGGATGTCGTAATTATGAGACAACTGGAAAGGTGCCACTTACTGGCCACTGCTTTGCTCAGTAGAACCACTAGACAGCAGCAGAAAGGTAAGTTATCAGTTTGATACTTCCAATGCAGAAACTTGTTTACATACATTTCTTTGCTAGAAGACTTCATAGGTTTATGGATAACAGTTTTACTACAAAAGTACTAGAAAATATATCATAATTACTAGTAGTATTTATGACTCTTTTCTCATAATCACGAGATAAGGTGTCTACTTTATTTTTCTTTGGTGAATGCAATGCGCTTCCGTAATATTCTGCAACCAATCTACAATCTTTGTAAAGTGTTTGTGCATTAGCTGGACGTTAGCATCCACTGAAAATATGCCCTTTTTCACACCTTCTTGCTGCTTCTTTAGCGGCCAGTGCTTTCACGCGTTTCCCACCTGCCACACAAACAACAACAACACTGTTAAAAGATCATCAATCAGCATCAATGTGAGGTGGAAACCAGCAAGCTAACGTTACACCAATGAGCCAGTCAATGAGCAACTACACAAAGTACCTGTGTGCAACATTAACTTATGTTTAAACTCCTTTCTTGCGTCTGTTCGGGGTGTAGACGTGTTCAGAAAGCCTGATACTGACACGAGAGAAGTAATTATTAATGTGAACGTACCTTTTTTTGAGGTTTCAGCGGGAGGTCCGCTCCCACTCCTCTCCTCCGTCTCCATGCTGTTTCTGTTTTCCCTCATTTCAACTTTGACCTATGACGTATTTCTTTCTACGGCGAGCCCCAGTGGACAATCCAGCGTTAGCACGTTCAGCAGGTAGCGTGGTGCTTTTCACCGGGCATGTAGTTATCATAAGTGGGTATCTACCTGTACTATTGTCCTGTTTATCACTTTTGTAATCGGCAACAGTGCTCACTGTTTGTGGCTGTGTGTGGATAGCTAGGATAGCACAAGAAAAGCTTTCTTTCAGTATAACGGCTAAGCTAATTCAGAATTATAAGCTAGCATCCTTTCTGCTCCCCTCTGTTTATAGCAGACTGCCCAGTTTTCTGTTGCCCACACAGGTTTACCTTACCATAACCTTAACTTAACCCGGGTGTTCGTGCATATAAATGAGGAATAAACACGCTTACAACGTCTTCATTAAGTAGTATGGTGTGCATTATGTTGACATTTAGTATCCTGTTTGCTTTGGAGGACTAAGTTAACTACCTTGTGAAGATAAACCCCACATGAGGACAGCTGCAGGGATGGCTCTGGAGCAGCTCAGTGATGTGGTCCAGAGATGTGTGAGTGCTTCAGGGGACACCCACCTTTTTATTTTACGTGCATCCACACCTTCCACATTTCACCATCATGGATTCTGCAGACATGTTATTCAGGGTAGTGATTTGATTTATGTGGTACATGTAATCTGTATTTATACAGAGAGCAATAGTGGTGCTTCTCAGCTCTGTTTTAGCTGCACAGCACGGCCCTCAGTCTGCTCCAATCAGTTCAGAAAACCTTTTCTGACATTGCAGTCATAAGTGAGAGAGACATTTTTACAGTGTGTTGACACTGTCTATGCCACATTACACTAGCCTTAAGTATCTTAAATTGAAAGTAGGGCTTGGCTATAAATGTTCAATAAATGTTTGATTTATTTAATTTCAATCACAAACAAATTAGCACATTTTTCTATTGAGATATTTATTTGGTTGCCATGTGGCCCAGCCCTAATTGAAAGACTGTGGGACTGCAACTAGCAGCTATTTCGATTACCAACAGGTTTTTGATTAACTGTAAATATATAAAATGTGTGAAAAATACCAGTCCCATTTTCCCAGATCCTAAAGTGACATGAGTTTGTTTTTTTCCCAACCAAAAGTCCAAAATGATTTCAATTTACAATTAATTAAAGGCATGCCTCTTTCCAGCTTCTCAGTGTGACATTGAGAAGCTGGAAACAGGTATGTTTGCCTTAAAATTATTGTTGATTAGTTGTCTTATTTGAGATATAGCTCTGTCTAATTTTCTAATAAATTTTATTTAATAAAATGTCTGGATTTGCTCTCTTTTAATCCCTTTATTTTTCTCTCTTTCCCACAGCAAGCCCTCCCTGATGACAGCTACACCACCGAGGATCATGACGTCTTCACGATTGCTGGGCGGGCCTGCATCGAGGAGGGGAACACAGCACAGGTCCTCAGCATAGTCCTGGATGAAAAGAATCAGGTACACTACTCAAAGCTGACCATTGGTTCAGCACGTAGACTTGTTCATAAGTGTGATGCATACTGCCCTGCAATCACTCCTCTATCCCTCTTTCTGTAGGACATAGTGAGATGTATGGGTTGGAATCTGCTGCCTCCCCTGATTCAGGTTCTGCTGAAGAAAGAAGACAAGAACCTTTCTCATTGCCTGGCCGTTTTCAACCACCTGCTACAGGTCTGCTCACCTGCTCAACAGATCACAGTGTTGATTGATTGCAGCCCAGTTCCAGTTCAAAATCACAGGATTGGATATAAGATTAAACACTAGTTATAATTTAATATGACCCACTGACAAATCTCGCAGTGTATATAGATGCTTAATGTCTTGAGTGTCGGGATGAAATTGTTCTTTTAAGGGTCAGTTGTGGTTTTTCCAGACGTGCAGACCCAAAGAGCTTCTGATTGGCTTGTTGGAACAGCTGGAGCAGGATGACCCTGACACCATAGCAGAGAGCCTCCATCTGCTGTTGAACCCTCTACAGAAAGGTAAAGAACATTTCTTTAAGTACTCCACTGCACTTGTAATCGGCTCAAATAGAGCCATTTCTCTCCTCTCTCCTCATCGGTGTCTTCCTCTCAGTGCTGCTGTGTCTGGGCAGCCGTAAGGCGTCGTCACTGGGCATGACCCTGTCCTCTGTGCTGGACCAGGTGGCCAAACTGCCTCTACCTCACACCAAGGAGCAAGAGGAGGATGACGTCTTTTCGCTTTGTCGCTGCTGCGCCGAGCTGTCAGACTTTGTCAGACCCTTTGTCGGCGAGGCCAGGCAAAGCCTCGTGAACAGTAAGGAAGAAAATGTGAGCACAAACAAGATGGCGTGTGGACAGGACAGGGGTAAAGAGGACGAGCTGCAGACAGAACTGCTAAAGTTGTGAGTGAAAAATGATTTTAAAATATTTCCCCACATGTTATCTCACATTATGCATTGGTAAGGAGCAGAACCCCGATATGCTCATCTTGGCTCTTGTTTTTCTGTCCTGCAGCTGTATGAAGTCTCTGAGTCGCCCTCTGCTGGAGGTACAACTCAAAGATCCTGAGACACTTGCTGTGTCTCCCCTCAGGAATTTTGCCACAGACATTCTGGTACGGCAAATCCCCACTGATGCTGTCCTGTAACGTTAGTGTAAATGTAGAGATGGGTCCTACAAATTTGACTGGTTTCTACAGCAACGTGTCAGTGAAACACAGTTTTTTGTGGATGCTTGCTATGTTCTCAATGAGTTTCACTACTTATGAGCTCATAGTCATTTGAACTTTCACTTGGTATTTCTACTGACTTTCTTAGTCAATACAAAATCTGAAGATGCTGGCAGATTACCTTGTCAGCTGTAATGTTAACGGTGAGTTTGTGTGTTTTGTACAGAACACCCTCAGTTCTATCGGAGAGTCCCTCCCCAGTCTTGTGTACCAGCCTCTGTTGAAGAGAAAACTGGTTCCAGGCTTTCTGGAGGAGGAGGTGCGTTATCCTAAAGAGTCTTTGGCCAGCCTGGCTCACTTAGTGTTTGTCCATCACCTGGCTGCAGATACATTCCCAAGTATTTTCAGGTAAGATAGAAAAAGTAGTTATCATACACAAGTACTGAGACTCTGATGTACTGCACGAGTTTCTTCAGATGTGGCTAGGAATTAGTGCTGGACAATACTGACGAGGACTCATACTGTTTGAACACATCGTTAATCCTCCTGTCTCTCTCCGTGTCCACAGCCCTGTGTTCTGTCTTCGGTGTAATATGGAGCACACCTGCCTCCTCCTGTCCAGGTGAATACATTACACACTATTATTATATGTGTTCTGTGCTGGCACACCGATGGCGGCTCTGATCTCAGGTGGCTTTCATGAAACAATATATTAAACAATAATAAAAAAATAGTTTGGCAAACACCGCCTTTGTTTGATAGTTCATCATCACTCAAATTGAGTTTTTAAGCATCAGAGTTATCAGAGAAGATATAGAATATTATGTCATAAGTGTTGGATAACATTTCTAATCATTTTAAATGGAAGAAGACAAAAAGCATTTTACGTGACAGAATATCTCGTTAAACCACATTGTATAATTAATCAAAACACATCAATGAGTTTTTTTAAGTCTCCACTACTCCCACACCATGTAACCACATTTATCTGCCTTAGTGAATGAATGCAGACTTTGATGTATGGTTAATGTATGTGTAATGTGTGTTTTGTGTATTTGGGCTGAACCCCTCATTACTTATTATTAACTCATATTTTTTTGACAGAACTGAGGAGTCCAGGATTCAGAAAGGCCTGGTGAGTCAAACTGAAACACTGGAGATTTGTATTGTGGTTTGCCAAATATTTCTCAGAGAGAGTGTTTCTTGTGACCTACAAGACTTTTTCTTGCTGTTTTGAAGAACTTTCTAGTTGACATACAGTAGCTCATAAACTTGATTTTGATCCTTGCCTTGACGGAGGGTCCTCAGAACTAGTTAAAAGCCCATTTCCTCCTCATAGAGAACAGGTTTAAAGGTGTATTAAGAGACAGACATATAGAGGGTTAGGGTTAACCCCTAGAAAAATGGTTGATCCAATGAAAAGGAGAGAACTTTGCTGTTCCTAGATCCTTATGTTGTTGCCTAAATCATTTTGAGACATCTCAGACTCTCTCTAATCTCATCTCAGACTGTGTAAACTGTGCTTTGTTAGCCTTAGCTGTACTTGCCCTGCTACCCGTTTGACTGACAGACATTGCCATCCCTAGATCCACACAAGCTGGGACATTTAGTGTGATGTATGTGCCTTTACCGTCACACAGGAGCTGTACGAAAAGAGTCTGGTGCGGGTGGAGGATGGCAGTCTCCCTGCAGATCTGCTAGAGATCAAAACCTTCCTCACAGTCCCTCAGGTGAATAGTTATTCATCCAAACCTCAGCTGAGGTTTCTGTCGGTGTGACACTTCGCTGATGTGCATTTTATGTCACGCTTAGTCATTGATTTCATTTTTTTTTTTTTTCAGAACTTGGTGAAAGTCATGACGATATGTCCGAGGCATGATTTGGTAAGTTTTCACATTAGTAGATCATTTTGAAATTTTGCTCAACAAGTAAAATTAACTGGGCTGAAAGTGTGTATTTACTTAGGTGTAATTGTAATGCCATAGATAATGGACTTAATGACCTTTTTACTATTTGTATTTATTGTAGCTTTGAAATGAATTCACATGGATTTCATTTGAATCTTTTCTGCAGATTCTGTAGATTCAACTGAAAATAGATATATTTAAATATTTGCTTCCTTGTCAACAGAGAACCAGGGGTCTGAAGGTGTTCCAGCTGAGCATTGATAAGTTTGACACTGAGGCCAAGTACAATTTCTTCCAGTGAGCTCCACCTTTCCTCCTTGAAAGTCATGAGAAACCTCTCTCTTTCTGTTCCGCCCTCCTTTTCACTGGTCTTCTCGTTTCAGGTACATGCTGAAAACAAGTAACCACTCGGGAGTCGAAGGTTACGTCATCAAAAACATCAAGAATCAGATAGACGTGGCCCTGCAGGTGAGATGACATTTTAAATTATTGGTGGCTGATGGTATTTTCCACAGGTTCTGATGCAGTAACTAAGAGCTAAATAGCGGGGTCTGTGCAGAGTGGGCTTGTTGTAAAATTAAAAGTCTGTCTTTGTGTCTTCCCGTCCTCAGCCAGGTAACAATAACGCCTGGTTTGAGGGAGTTCACCTACTGCCTTTGCTGCGTAAAGTTCTCAGTTTGCCAGACGGCCCAGAGACCGACCTCCTGCAGTACCTGGACAGGTCAGCACAAACAGAACTCGGGCTGCTACTAACGATTATTTTCTCAATCAACTGATTAGTTTTTTGGTCTATAAAGTGTTAGAGAATTGTCAAAATGTTGATCACTGTTTCCCCAAGCCCAAGAAAATGTCCTCAAATGTCTTGTTTTGTCCACAACTCAAAGATATTCACTTTACTGTCATAGAGGAGTAAAAAAACCAGAAACAATATTTACATTCAAATGGAATCATTTTTCTCAAACTGAAGATTAATCGATTATCAAAATAGCTGGCGAATGAATAGTTCACAACTAATCGATAATTTGATTAAGAACATCTATTTTCCTTATCTTGCTCAGAGGGGCAAGTCACTGGAACAAGCATGCACTGTATGAGAGGCAGAGGACACAAACACATTGCCAGTGACTGAGACATACTATTAAAGACAAATGTCACAGCCAAAGCGAGCCTCTTTCTCCTTACAGCGTGATTTGAATATAATGTGCGATGATTAATCAATAATTTAATTAATTTCAGTATGAAGCACTGCTGTGCATAATGAAATTTTTACATAAACTAGAATGGAAATAAGCTTTTTTCTCATTGTGAAGTGAATAAAATGTGACAGAATCCTTTTAAAATAGAGAATTATTTTTTTTTAAGTAGGAGCTGAAGCTTTCAACTGATCAAAATGATCAAAAAAGGCGAGTCAGTGGACCTTGAGTCTGATTTGTAGTACTATTTCCAATATCATTGTTTTTGTGTTCTAAACAGGATAATGGAGTCTCTGAACCTGCTGCGGTACCTCGTCATCAGAGACAAAGTGACAGAGAACCAGGTGAGTGCAGCCTTCCAGCCTCAAGACCAAAATCAGCGTCCGGAGTGCGTCAGCTGACTAAACTCTCCTCGTGTTTTCCTGCTGCTGTTTACATCTTGCAGACAGGGATCTGGACGGAGCTGTATAAAATAGAAGATACGTTCATAAAGCCGCTACGTGTTGGGGTGAACATGTCAAGAGCTCACTATGAGAGGGAGCTCCACAGCACCATGGAAACCAAGAAGAGCAAGGCTAAAGGTCGGCACCTTTCTCAAACACTCATTAAGTTTGCAAAGGTAAAAAAGCGTTACAACAGCGTGACCGCAGAAGCCTGTGAAAAGTCCATAAAAGTTGTTTTTCTTTTGTATTGTTTTTATACATCTGCTCATTTCCAGATTTCTAAATGTTTTTGCAGAAAACCATATACAGGAGTATAGAAAAATATGAATGCTTCCATATTTTATAGTTGTAAATCTGGTTTAATTTTCACACATTTTGTGTTTCTTGCAATGACTATAATGGTTTTATAGGTACTGTAGTGTTCTGACAGCACAAATGTGTGTTTTCCACAGAGGAGCCGGTGCTCTCTGTGTCCGTTGGTGACAAGAAGCTGCCGAACGTGACATCAGAGTCACAGATTCAGGTCAGTGACTGTTTCAAGTTCGTATGACAATCAAACTGCACTTAATTGCGTGTCTCTCACAGCGCGGCCGAAGAGCAGCGATGGCCTGATTGAATTTGAATGGTGTCCTTTCAGGCTCTGCACTCAGCCCTGCATACGTTTGACATGATTGAGAGCGTGTTGGTGCGAATAGAGGAACTCGTGGAGGTGAAGGACAATCTCTAGACCGAGAGCACAGGAGTTCTTCTACCAGAAATCCTCATCATCTCAGGGCCAAGCAAACTAAAACAAAGCCTTCACCTGTTCTGTTGCTGAATGTTGTTAAAAGAAAGAGCAGTCGTGGGTACATTTTTTTCAAACCATAAGCCAATCGTGCACTGCTAGTGTTTTTTGTTTTCATATTTCAAGTTGTTTTGAGCAGGTCTGCTGGTATTTAGAACTAAGTATGACTTGAATCTGTTGCATACAGCGTCTATAAAACATCCAAATTGTGGCTGGGAAGGTTCCCTTCTGTAATACATTTTCAAACTTTTGTACACACGCATTAAATAATGTGCTGTACTGTTTATTCTGTAAGTGTGATGTGTTCTGTAACTACCATTATTAAGTTGTGGTTTGGTAAATTTTGTATATGGCATCTGTAATGTGCCTACAGAACAAGTAGACTGTTCACTTTAAGCTTATGAACCAATTTATTTAATTCACACCTAAAAGCCTAGCACAAAGCTATTAGTAGAAATCTCATCAACTATGAGTAATTACTGTTGTTATTGTTGACCCCACATACAACTGTTGCCATTTACATTAGAAGATAGAAAACCAAATGCTGGTTTAGCAACAACTACCTTTTTTAATGATTTAACAAATACTTTATATCTGCAGTTTCATTTGACATTTAAATGTGAATTAATGCGATCCCTTTTGAAGGAATTTTAAATGTGAATTATAATGCCTCACATATGTAAGACTTTTCTGTAAATGACAGCCACTTGCTTCATTTTTCAGTTTATTAGAAAATTCAAATAGAGTAAGGCAGACTTGACTTTTTCAGTGTTATAAATTAACACAACTGACACAGACATATTCTCACACAGCAGCTATCATACACTCGTTCATAAAATACAGATGGAATTCATGTGCACCTTCAATTTTAAAGCTGTTACATACTGTAGGAATAGTCACTTCATAAAGCGGTAATACGGCGTTACGACAGCGGACATACAGACTATTCCCTCTTGACAAGACTCAGTTCAGACGACAATAATATTTCACGTTCTTAAGATGTGTTAAATACAAGGTTTTCTTGGAGCTATAAAAAAGGCTAATCTTTGCTTGGGGCATCTGTCAAGTCTACAGCAGGTAGACAACATAATGGCAAGACTCCTTAAGTTTGGTATTTTTCTCTTTTGGTCTACAAAGTATAAAAGTACAGAACATCAAATTAAAAAGCCATATACTCAACTGCAGTTAAGCTGATTCTTCAGAGATCAGAGACCTTCAGGGTCAAATATTTATTTTACCAGACAGCTTGTAGCTGGATTGTTTTACAGATTTTGTAAACCTGTCCAACTACTGACACAACAGCCAATATAATGTCTTAAGTCAATACTTTTCCTGTCTCGTTATCGCTAATGCACATCTACACCCCCTTTAAAATGCCCATTCTCAAAGTACAGCTGCCATGAAAGACAAACAAAAAAAACAAAAACAGATTTTAACTCTTAACTGGAGGTCTGTGAACAGGAAGTCAAACCTGTCTTGAATGGCTACTAATATTAAAATAAATGAAGTATATAACAGTGTCTGATGGAGAGAACAATGAAAGACAACTTCTCCCCTTACAGAAATGTACCAGACTTCTATTCTCTGGTTCAGGTGATTTCTCCACACAGGGATGTAAACGTCTGATCCTGTGTACAGCAGAATACTTTCTCACGAGGGGACAGACTGACTGCTCTGCTGGGTTACAACTTCTAAGATAAATACATAAAGTATCTCATCCTTTTGTCTTTGCAGACCAGTTTATTCAATCTGAACCAAAGCCTAGGATGCTGTCAGTTCAGTTATGTTGACGTGAGCCTCCTGGTCTGGTTTCACAGGTCTTTGAACAGTGGGTGCTGCAGGGCCTGAGCAGCTGTGATCCTAGTGGCAGGGTCCAGGTCCAGCAGCCGGTCCAGCAGGTTGTAGGCCTCATCAGGAACTCTGTCCCAGCCTCGCTCATCATCTTCCACCTTGCAGTCTGTCTCTGAGCTCTGTTTAGTGAGGCCAGTGGTTTCTGTGCTCCTTGAATGTTCATGTTTTGGGAGAGCAGATGAGAGAGAAGAAGGAGTGTCACCTGCTCCATCATTGTGTTGCTTGAATGTTCCTTCAGTGGAACGATGTGTAGGCGTGTCATCTTGGATCTTGTGACGATGGGTGGCGGTGGAGTCTTTGTTGGCTTCTGGAAGTGGTGTGATTTCATCTGGTGACAGCCTCTGTCCTCTCAGCGTCTCACACAGCGTCCTGAGGTCCTGCCGAGGCAGCTCCCGACTGCACACCACCGCCTTACCTGAAGTTCAACCACAAAACAGGTTCATTATCTACACAGAGCTTTCCATACATCAGAGTGAGGCTGAATTCAGTTCTGCTGGATTAATCATAATACAGAAGCAGGAGTAAAACTTATTGATACACACCAAATGCCTTGGCAGCCTGGATGGTCTCTCTGGAGCCCCGTATGGTCATGATCTGAGTGAGGGCGATCAGGTCATCACTGGCTTTGAAGAACGGGTAACGGCCACTGAGCAGTGAGAGCAGGATCACGCCAGCTGACCACACGTCTATGGCTGTAGAACAGAAAGATAAGACAGGGGAGGGTGCAGCATTAGATTAGTGGCAGGGGAAGAGTCCAGTTTTGGCTTTCTTCCGTTTAGGAAAGCCACCACAAAGTGTCAGAGATACTGCACCTTTTCATCAGTTGGGGAAAAATTTCTTTTTCCTGAAATACCATTTTGTGATGTGTCACTGCAGCGCATGATTATACACTGAACAAAAATATAAAGGCAACACTTTTGTTTTTGCCCCCGTTCATCATGAGCTTAACTCAAAGATCTAAGACTTTCTCTATGTACACAAAAGGCCTATTTCTCTCAAATATTGTTCACAAATCTGTCAAAATCTGTGTCAGTGAGCACTTCTCCTTTGCAGAGATAATCCATCCACCTCACAGGTGTGGCATATCAAGATGCTGATCAGACAGCATGGGTATTTCACGGGTGTGCCTTAGGCTGGCCACAATAAAAGGCCACTCGAAAATGTGCAGTTCCATCACACAGCACAATGCCACAGATGTCACTATTTTTGAGGGAGCGTGCAATTGGCTACAGGAATGTCCACCAGAGCTGTTGCCCGTGAATTGAATTTTCATTTCTCTACCATAAGCCATCTCCAAACGCATTTCAGAGATAATTTAGCAGTACATCCAACCGGCCTCACACGTAGACCACGTGTAACCACACCAGCCCAGGACCTCCACATCCAGCATCTTCACCTCCAAGATCGTCTGAGAGCAGCCACCCAGACAGCTGCTTCAACAATCTGCAGAAATGTTTTGGTTATGCAAACAAACTGTCAGGAACCATCTCAGGGAAGCTCATCTGCATGCTCGTCGTCCTCATCGGGATCTTGACCTGACTGCAACTTTGCACAGCCATTAAAGAGGAGTGGACCAACATTCCACAGGCAATAATCAACAACCTGATCAACTCTATGTGAAGGAGATGCGTTGCACTGTGTGAGGCAAACGGTGGTCACATCAGATACTAACTCGTTTCCGGACCCCCCCCAGTACAGTGAAACTGCACATTTTCGTGTGGCCTTTTATTGTGGCCAGCATAAGGCACACCCGTGCAATACCCATGCTGTCTGATCAGCATCTTGATATGCCACACCTGTGAGGTGGATGGATTATCTCTGCAAAGGAGAAGTTCTCACTAACACAGATTTTGACAGACTTGTAAACAATATTTGAGAGAAATGGGCCTTTTGTGTTCATAGAGAAAGTCTTAGATCTCTCAGTAATTATTTTCAGTATAGTATGAACATATTCTGCACGAGTTTAACAGTAAGCATCTCCAAATCTTTGCTCAGCTGTCATCATATTTGTTTGGTTATAAATACTGTAGTCATTGAGGTACCAACCTGTTCCTTGGTTGGGACACTTTGTGAGGACTTCTGGTGCTCTGAAGCCTGGTGTTCCAGCCCTGGGAGCCACCTGCTGCTTCCTTTATTAAGAAAAGCAACATGAAGCAGGAACAACACATAAATCAATGAGAGAAAACTGGAATTAAATGGATGTCTTGTGCTAAAAAGCTCTAAATCTCATTTATAATGAAGAGATATTTTACAGTGTGTTACTGTGTGTAAAAGTGGGTTCCATTCTTCTTCTCGATCTCTTTTCTTACCTGGACATGCAGATGTTGCAGACACGGTCAGTCAGGTAGCAGTTACAAGTGAGGACCTGCTGCACAGTCCTTGGAGGTTTCTGACTGCTGCTCTGGGTCCTGACAGGGAGCGGGCCCCGACTGGCTGAAGAGTACTTCCGGCTGGCTGGGTCCTCTGCTTTGCCGGGCTTCACCAGCTGAATAAAATAATTTATGAAGAAAAAAAGCACAATAATGATAAACACCCTTAATACCATAACATATCGCGTTAAAGCGTTAAAACAAACAGTGTTTTTAGGAATAAGCTAAAACAAAAAATAAATGCATTTACAATGCAAGGATAAATAACATTTAAATATTAGTAATTGCTATCTATCTCTGGTGTGATTATTCAGTGTTCTTATACCTGATAATAAAAAGAGAAATAATGTAAGCTCTTATTCTTCCAAAACTTTACTTTCCACTGTCCCTACCTGTGTCTTAATGGCAGTTTGTTTGGTGGTGGATGGAGCAGGAGTGCAGCTGTTCAGGTTCCTCTCTCCAAACACAGGCCGTGCCACTTTGCGTAGTCCTGTCAAATCCTAGAGAAAACAAACATGGATATAAGAATTTAGCTAAAAGCAACACATTGGTTCAGAACACAAACAGATAAACACAGACACTTTAACATATTCGCAAAGGAAATTCTTAACCAACTTAAGGTTTGTGCTACCCAGTGAAACCTAATTACACTCATTTACAATTCTGCTTTAACTGGACAAAAAAAAACTCCGAAACACCAGAAAAAGGTATTATATTGACTTAGTGCAGACACCTTTGTGTGCTTTGTGCGAGAATTGGAGGTGGTGACAGCGGTGGTGACAGAACGTGTTTTTTTGATCAGTGCTTTCCGAGAAGCTGAGGAAGATGACGTGGAAGAGGAGGAGGAAGGTGGCACGGTTGTGGACTGCCGTGGAGGCAGAGGCAACGAGGTTGAGGCTGTGGTGGTGGTTTTGGGGGGGAGTCTAGGTAGTGCTTTGCTCCGCTGTGTCGTGTCTTGTTTCCCTGTGGACCCGCCACCTTTGTGCGATGGCCTCTGCCTCACCACCTTCAGCAGCTCAATCTGGGTGTCTGCAGTGCCCTGAGCCAGGCCGAAGTCCACCAGTGCATACCTACACACACAATTTAAATCAAGAAATTCAGCATTTCCAAAGCAATCTCCGAACACCCATCTCACCTCGCACCCAAACTACACAGGGAGGCCAGAATTTTCCCATTAACAGATAAAATGGCAACTAAGATGCCAAAACAGTCGGACACTTTGCTGACCAAATCACCAGCATTCAGAATTATATATATTTTTAAAAGAGTAAATGAAACAATCAGATGAAAGTATGCGGAGGCACTTATTACAGAGGGGGATAAATACTCACATTTTGGTTCTACTGTTGTAAAGGAAATTGTTTGGTTTGATGTCTCTGTGAATGATTCCAAACTGGTGGATGTGCCTCAGGGCCTTCAACAGGTGATAGATGTACAGACGGACCTCTTCAAAGCTCAATGAGCCAATGATGTCCTGATAAATATGTTTTGATTGGATCACAAATTTTAAATCACATTTCAGTAAGCACAGACAAGAGAGCCACATCAAGAAAGACAAAAAATGATTCATGTTTTAGGGATTACATTACAGATCTATGCCAGTCCATGCTAAAATCAGTGTGTCACTGAAAAGCAGTAGTCACATGCTTGATAGAAGCTATTGTGTGACAATGTACATACCACAATAGCTTGATGCTCCATATAGGGCATGACAATCACCACATGGTCCTCCTTCCTGAAGCAGTAAGTCACCCCCATTACATTCTCGCTGCCTCTGTAAAGTGAAGAAGACTCAGTGAGACGACAGAACTCATTTCAACGTGTGTCACTCTTGGCCGGGCACAAATTAGTGTCTTGCCAAAGCAGCCATCACTGTATAGAGGTGCGTAGGTTCAGCTGAATCATACGACGTTAGACAAGTGAGGAACCCACACACCAATTTGCTACGGCATAAAAATAACCTTTAAAAAAAGAGATTAAACAGTTATGATATAACAAGAGTTCTTTAATTCATTATTTAAAAATGTATGTGTCAGCATTGCAACACATCTGTAGCAAGTATAAAAATCTCTAACCCTATAACTGCAGTACATACAGCATGTCCCCCTGCTGTATAAGGGTTATAAACAGCCAGATAACAAGAATAGAGAAGCTCTGCAGAGGAAATTTTACCTGCACTGCACTTTCAATTCATTAAAAAGGCAGTATTGGACTCACCCAGCAACAGTGAGACATTGAAGCTCAGCAGCGATGCGTGTAGGATGGCTGGTTGGGATGAGGTGCTTCAGGGCAAACATCTCTCTCCTACCGTCCCGCATCTGAGCCTCACCCAAATATACCGAGCTGAACGTACCTGATGAACAGATACAGGTCATGAACAACAACAATCATTCAGTGTAGCAGCCCCGACAACAAAGGCTCGGTCTCCTTTGGTTTTTAGCCTAGACCTTGGAATAGTTAGCAACGCCCTACCAGAGGATCTCGGTCTGCATCCTGGCTCATAGGGGGATAAAAGCTATAGAGAGATATATGATGGTGCTTGCCCACGTCTGGCCTTGAAAGTAAATAAAATAATTTTGAAATCAATACCAAAAGAAACAGGCAGCCAGTGCAAGAATGCTAAAACTGGAGTCATAAGGTCATTTTGTTGCACTGAGTTAGAAGTCGAGCTTCAGCATTTTGGACTAATTGAAGGCACTGAATTGATTTCTGGTTTGGAAAGGTACATAGGTAGTTACAATAGTGAACACATCACCTCTTCTGCTACAATAAATCCAATGAGGTGAATGAGTGACTAATGTATTAATATTTAACAAATGCTTTTTTTAAACAAATAGTATTTAAACTCCTATGGCGTGGATAAAGTTATGCAGAGTGCGTACCTTCTCCGATTTTGTCTATGATGCGGAAAACCTTGGCCAGCTGAGGAACAGCTTTGTAGAGGAACTCAATGTCCATCTCCACATCCCCTGGAAGAAAAGACGCGCACATTTTCAATCAGCAAAAAACAAAAACAAATCTGTTACAGGTTGTAGTGCAAAAAAACTGAGCAAGAATGACACAGCTTTTCAGACATGCCTATGTTACAGGCTTTCATTTAATACAATTATTTTATTCTGTTCCTAATTTAACATTTGTTCAGTGACATATGCCAGAATTAAAAAACAAAATACACTCTGAAAAAAGTGACAGTAAATTCCTGCAAATATTGCTTCCTCAACCTAATATTGCATTAACTATAACACGCTAATGATGTATCTTTAATCAAATGTTTACTCAAAAAGTCATAAAGCTTCCAACTTACTTGGGACTTTGCTTCTCCTGTGACTCCTGTCAGATTTAATAACACATCCGTCTGTGCTGATGCCTTCAGTGCAGACAGTAGACAACTCCATCTAAAAGACGGAGAGAGAGAAATAAGGAAAGAAACCTTAAAGGGCTGGCCACGTAACGTTAAATGACTCAAAGGAAACATTTAAATTATAAATAATATACGGTTACTCACTGTTAACTTAGATACAGTGTGTGTAACGTTATTTACTGTATAAAGCGACTGATTATTGGCCAACTAGCTCACCTGGTTAAATTGGCTGATGGATAGAAAGTAGTCTAATCTAATGTACGATCTGTTTGTCTCCCTAATTACAACAAAACTAGCATGCTACTGCTAGTTACGGTCTGTCAGGCTGGCTAACGTTACAGTTTGGAAGCAAAACAAAAAGAAACTCACCGCTTTAGTTGGTCGTAAAGTGAAACAGCTTCTCAAATTAACATTTCATAAACGCGCCATACAGTCATGAGCTAATGCTCCATCTGCTAAAACTTATATAATTGTCCCTCAGTCAATTCACAGAAAAAATAAGTGTTCACACTTTCAGGTTGAAGCTTTTCCGCCAACAACAAACTCCGCGCTAAAAGTGATGTCACAGACATCTCGCGCTATCAGCTGACCAACTCACGCGATTTCAACCAGCACTGTCCGGAAGAAGGAACTATGGGACCTAACCTTAATTTTATACAGTCAATGGGCCAGACCTAAACCTACACACAATAAAAAGGGAATGTAACGTCTTCCTCTAACATCAGAAGCCGTATTCACAAAACATCCTCAAGTAGCTCCAACAAATAACACCTGTGTCAGTCCTGACTTCAGGTTACAAAGTACAGGATCCCAAGTGTCCTGCTCACAGTCTGTCTCATTGCATCAGTTCTTTTAATTTAATTTAATTTAAAAGCATATTTTGATTGCTGGTGAGTTAAATCCGCTCACCGACCAAGATGACAGTTTTCATAACTCTCCTCCACTAATTTACACCAACACTGGAAAAATGCAGTAATCCATTTGTTGCACAGAACATTAAGTGTACAGTAAATAATCACCAAATTAAATAAATAAAAGTGGTTTCATGGCCATCGATGCATTAGGGTAGCTGTAGAATATGTGCTGAATGTCAAAGGAGGGAGGCAAAAAAAAAGTCCATATTTTACTTTGTTTGATGCAGTTTAAAACATACATTTGTTAAAAATATTTAATTTAATATTTAAAATATAATTTAGTTGATGTGATTTCATTAAATAACTTAATTGATTTATTTGAATGATTTGATCACATTTTTAAATGTAAATTTAATTTTACTTTTTTTAATATAATCTAATTTAATTTAATCCAATCATTGACACAGACTGGTCACCTGTCAACCAATCACTGTAGACAAGTGAGTAAATTACTTGAGCTCTCTCAGTTCCTCAGTAAAAGTTGCCCTCAGCAGCTTCATGAAAAGCTCTTAAAGGGAAACTCAAGGAACTTTTAGTGCTTTTTAGCAGGACTCCTAATGGTAAAATAAGACAGATTTTCAGACTTGTATAGAGTGGTGATAAATACATATACATTATACACGATAGCTCAAAGGATGGGCCTCTCATCTACAGTAAAAGGTCTGTATTTGTACAGCGCATTTCTAGTCTTTCTGACCACTCAAAACGCTTTACACTACACCACATTCACACACTGATGAGCCAGAAACAGAAATTAACTAATTCATACATGTTCACACTTTTCTTGCTCAAGGACACTTCGACATGCAGACTGGGGGAGCGAACCACTGATGTTCTGATAAGTGGACGACCGCTCTACCCCCTGAACCACAGACGTCTCTAAAATACTTGGCAACAATCACAAAGCTACTACTTGACTGTACTGAATCATCCAATAAACAAACTTTATTGAATAAATAAATACATAAATAAATAAATAACATTAGTAATAATTAGAACTTTAGAAACAATTTGTTTCATTTACAATATGAATATATAATAACCTGACTTCAAAACAGTCTACAAATCTTGATGTGAAGCTATAAGGTTAATGAAAAATTAACACAAACATAAAGAAAACACTTCATGTTAATAACATATTCATGTCAGACAAGCATTACTTCTAAAATATTCCATCAAATATCCCAAGGAAAGCTTCCTCTTCTTTGCTGCTGGTGCTGAGTGTACAGGATGTAAAAAAAATCAACAATTATTTAGCTGAATCAGGTGAAAAAGCATCCTTTAGTAAAAGTGTATTGAATATATGATTATTTTCATTATATACTAAAGATTGAATATTGTAATGAGTCAAAAAAGCCTTGTAATCATATTTTCCTCTACCTTCTGCTGACAGATGAGCTGGTGTTTGGTGGGACGCTCACTGTTGAGAAAAAATCAAACCTTCTGGTAAGTGGGGCCACGTGGGTCTCACTCTGTTTCAGCAGATTTTGTGGTGTTTTTACTGTGACCTCTTCACTGAAGATGCTTGGTCTCTGTACAAGGAGGAAGAGAGGCAAGTGTCACACGTGCCAATTAGCTCGGGTACTGACCATACACCAGTTAATCTTAACCTGACAGTCAGTAACCGTTTTGCTATTAATAAACTCACAGAATATTTCTTTCCACAAAGAGAAAATCCCATCAGCAAAAGAGCAACAGTCACTAAAAGTTTTGTTGACATTTCAATGTATCTTTACAGCTGAGAGACATTTAAAATATTATTTGGTGAAAACATTGACAGGAGTAAGATGTTAATGTTTACATGGTACTGTAATACTGTAATATGTACAGTATGTAAGCCAGCTAGCTTAATTTTGTCTCTCACGACAACAAAGTCTACCTGAGTAACCATGTATACAATAGCATATTGTTTAGGATACCACTAAACTGCAAAAGTAGCACATGCACAGATCTCTGTACACAAACACGCACACCTTTTTATTCCAGGCGAGTGTGATTCTGTTCTGCGGTCTGACTGTGACCTGGGACAGTCCTGGTTTTCTGATTTCAGGACTTAAAGTTGGTGAAATCGACCTGAAACACATAAATATGACAAATGTTTTTACTGTACTAATGATAATAAGAAACCTCAGGGAACGATTGTTTTCTGAAAGGAGATTTGTTTCACACATTTTTTGATGTTTAACACAATTACACAAGTCCGGCCTTACCTCAGTGGTGTTCTGGCAGTGGTTATACAGGGTTTGACTTGTAAATGATGGCAGAATACTTGTGTTGATGTTGTGGCAAAAGACTGCTGGACTTGAGGTTTAGCATTTGTTGGACACAAGGCCGATGATGTCTCGCTGGCATGCACCAAGTTTTCGTCATCAAAGTCGCCCCAGTCGTCCCATTCATATCCAAGGTCAAAGCTGACAGTTGGTATTTGTGAGGCTGCAGCATTTTCGTCCTGGTTTGACACAGCAGCAGACCTCTTCAAGTAAGCCAAGTTGGTTGTATTGATCTGGTTTGGATGCGGTTTATGGTTCTGACTCACACCAACACTGATTCCTGGGTTCTTCCACATTGAGGAACCTAAACACAGATGACTTAAATAAAAAGAATAGCTACACCATCAAGTGCTACTGCACTTTGGGCCTTCATAGAGTTTTTTAAAGATCTTACTTGGTGTCTTTTTGCACGTTTTTTATCATTCACTAAAAACTTGTGCAGAACTAACAAGTCGATGGTAAAGACCAGAGGTTTTAAAAGTGGTAGGCGGGCCTCCCCAGAAGGCTCCAAACTGTTTCAGGGGAGGCTCAGCGAATGAAAACTAATACATGCCTTTTGAGGTTGATGGCAAACAGCAATATTAGGTTAGCTTGGCTTTATAGTTGAGTGTCTATGTGATCAACTAACGTAATCATGATCCCATAGGCATCCACAAATTAAGCAAAACTAAGCAAGTAAACTAAGGGGCGGTAGCGGAAGGGCCACAGTCTCAATCTTTGAAAACCCCTGGTATAGGCGATTATCTTGGCCAGATGATTAGGGCTGTAACGGTTTTGAAACCGAGACCGAAACCGCAACACAAAAGTCCATGGTCTTGTTTCGTGTTTCTGAGAGACAGATGCAACACACCCGCTCCCGGATTGTTGAGCTCTCATTAAGACAGTGTAACTGTGGCGGCAGCGGCCGGTGGGGGCAGTAGTGGTGTATAATGTATTTGTATTGATAGTAGGTTATTCTAGGTCATTTTCCACCTTATTTTATTGTTTATTCACTAATTAAATTTGCTTCACCTTCATTTAACTTTTCCCCTCACTAACACACACCCACCTCTGCTCTCTCACTGCAAACCAACGTGGTACTGAGTGACATCTGCAGTGGTGCGTTCACTGTCGCTCCGTAATGTACATTGTAATGTACAAACATTTTCCTAGTTGTTGGCCAATCATCAAATTCATAGACTGATTTTCATACCTGATCCTTGAATATTTTTAACATTTCATCACCTTTATTTTTTGTGTCAAGCGTGCATTACTTCTCTCTTTGTTGGTGGATTAATAAATCCTCTGCCACCTAAAATGAAACATCAATAGCCAATGAAAAATGTTTTTCATGAACCATGTTAACATTATACTTTTGACAATGTCCTTGTGTGCTTGTTGTTTATCTCCAGAGGTTTTCCCTCTGAGAACATGGCTTATAAATCCCTGTACTGTGCTCGAAGTGTACATTTCAAGATGATGTACTGGTAGTTTACTGAAATGAGCTGATAACAATGGCTAGGGAATCACATAGCATACACAGAAAAATAACTGGCAATTTGTAAAGTATATGGGATTTGTAGTTAATGAGCCAAAACATGCAACACCACCAGGGTCGTTTGTCTAATGAGTTTAAATTAAGTTGTTTGATAATCTCAAAAGGAGAGAAAATGACAGAGCGTGAGAGACAGAAAAATACAGAACATGTGATTGTAAAACTCAACAATGGGGATTGTGTTGAGTTAATCTTCCACATGCCACTTTTTTACCAGTGTCATCATCGTCCAGATGAACTGTGTCAGGCAGTTCAGCCCAGTCTTCTCCGGTCAGATCCACAATCTCAATGTGAGGTCTTGCTGACGCTCCATACTGACTCCCACCATAACTTCATTAAATAAAATAGGAGATGAATGTAATTCAGCGTCAGGCCATCAGATTTAATTGAAACCAAACTTATTTTAACAAATTCTTTTCACTTCTGTTCCTGTCTTTGTTTTTCACACTTATTTAGGCTTATGGACTTTGGATTATTGCCTACAGTCCCCTCCAAAAGTATTGGAACGGTAAGGCAAATTCCTTTGTTTTTGTTGTTCACTGAAGACATTTGGGTTTAAGATCAAAAGATGAGTATGAGACAAGAGTTCAGAATTTCAGCTCTCATTTCGGGGCGGGTGGCGGAGTGATGGGGGAAGGGGATTACGGTAGTAATCTTTACTAATTACCACTGACGGCAACGTTGCCCTGCACGATTGCTCTAAAAGTTGCTCAGTGTAGCTTGAAGGAGGTGTAATGCATGCTCTATTGGGTTAAGGTCAGGTGATTGACTTTGCCAGTCTAAAACCTTCCACTTTTCCCCCCTGATGAAGTCCTTTGTTTTGTTGGCAGTGTGCTTTGGGTCATTGTCCTGCTGCATGAAAAACTTCCTCCCGATTAGTTTCAATGCATTTCTCTGTAAATTGGCAGGCAAAATGTTTCTGTCCACTTCTGAATTCATTCTGCTGCTACCATCATCAGTTACATCATCAATAAATATTAATGAGCCTGTTCCTGAAGCAGCCGTGCAAGCCCAAGCCATGAGATTACCTCCACCATGCTTCACAGATGAGCTTGTATGCTTCGGATCATAAGCAGTTCCTTCCTTTCTCCACACTTTGGCCTTTCCATCACTTTGGTAGAGATTAATCTTGGTCTCATCAGTCCATCAGATTGTGTTCCAGAACCTTTGCGGCTCATCTCTGTACTTCTTTGCAAATTTCAATCTGGCCTTCTGATTCTTCCTGCTGATGAGTGGTTTGCATCTTGTGGAGTGGCCTCTATATTTCGGCTGTCTGAGTCTTCTTCAAACAGGACATTGTGATACCTTCTTCCCTGCACTGTGGAGGTTGTTGGCGACTTACTGATGTTTCAGGGGTTTTCTTCACAGCTCTCACTATATTTCTGTCATCAACTACTGTTGTTTTCCTTGGCCGACCTGTTCGACGTCTGTTTGCTCAGTACAACAGTAGTTTCTTTCTTTTTCAGGACATTCCAAATTGTTGTGCTTGCTATGCCCAATGTTTGTCCAATGCCTCTGGTCGATTTTCCCTCTTTTCTCAGCTTGACAATGGCTTACTTTTCGCCCATAGAAAGCTCTCTGGTCTTAATGTTGGTTTATCCTCTTTAACAGGAAATGCAGTCTTTATAGGTTTGAACCAAGGTTGAAAACTTAGACCAGTCATGCAGAGCTATTTAATATTTGGACAATCAACCTAAAAGGCAACACCTGGGCAACAAGAAATATCTGTCAGTCACATGTTCCAATAGTTTTGCTCACTTGAAAAATGGGTGGGTTCAAACAACGGGTGGATGTGTTGTTTTAACACATCTAGATGTGAATACCAGGAAATGAGAGCTGAAATTCTGAACTCTTGTCTCATACTCATCTTTTGATCTTAAGCCCAAATGTCTTCAGTGTACAACAAAAACAAAGGAATTTGCCTTACCGTTCCAATACTTTTGGAGGGGACTGTATACCGTCTAAATATGTGTCTAAAATGTCAATGTAACTGTGAATACCTGGAAACAGTAGGTAGCCTCTCTTTGGGTTTGTAAGAAAACTCCTGCATGTTGACAGACACCGACTCCTCACTCATTTTCATCTGAGCAAATAAAAACAGAGCATCAAACACAGATTTATTCAGTTTAGTTATACAGAAAGATGTGGACACAAGAAAGACACATATCTAGTTTGTCTAGTTCACGCAAAGATTCTATTTGCTATTCTCATTTGGTTCAGTAGAATTAAAACAACAATGCACATGTAGCCTGCACATTTATCCATACAGCATGATCTTTATGACCTCATCTGGATTTGAACATAGGAACGCAGACATTGTACCTAATCTGCATATTCTACACCTGTAAACTAAATAATGGGTTGAATATCTTGTCTAAAGTGCATATATACATAGACTCTCATCCTCATATCCTCATACTATACAGTATAGTACCTGTAAATATATATAGTCATATTATATGTTATAGATATTGTGCTGTTCCTATAATCTTGTGACTCATCAGCATCTTCTGACTTCAGCAGACTTAATCCTACTGTGTTGTGTGTGATATATTAGATGAGACTGGTTGAGGATAACACAACCTCAGGTCTATATCATATATTTAACGTGAAATCGTGACGGTCTCAATTCAACAACTCTTTGTTTTTTGTATGATGGCTGCAATGTTTAGACGATACGATGTGGGCAAAAAAAGACATACCTGTTTTCTTTCTCACCTTGAGTCTTTTGACAGGAGTCTGCGCGAGTGTGTCACACCTGCTCCTCAGGTCTTTCAAATAGGAAGAGAAGCCGGATTCTTGACTTGCTGACCTCTTCCGTGCCACAGCTACACCTACTTTACCTTGGTGAGGGTGATGGACACACATGAATTATCTATTATCTTGACACACAAAGCAGATACATGGTAGATACATGAGTGTACAAAAAGACATGTACACAGTGGAAGACGTGATTGTACTCACAGCAATCGTGGCCACAGAGATCCTTATTCTTGCAGAAGTGGTTGCACTGTCGTTTATTGACTAAATCTGTTTGTTATTATTTGAACAGAGAACAAAAAACATCTAATTTCAACCTTTGAAAAGCCTTTGAAAAACTACTCTCAATATACATTATTTTATATTTCAGCATTAACAAAATCATCAGTAACAAAGCTCCAGTGTAGTGCCTTGGTCTGTAGCAGATGTGGCATTTTCCCTCGGAGTTGCAGCCTGATATGTAGACTGTAGTTTCAGTGCAGATGGCTGCGGTCTCTGTCTGGTACGGTCATATGATATGTTATATGGATTATCAGTTCCAAACCTCCTGGCTCCAGAGTAGTACACACTGAACTTCTGCTGGATGTCCAGGCCCACTATAGGAGAGGAAAAGGCAGATATGTACAGTATATGCACTGACAGGCAGTTGATAGCCAAAAACAAGATGTACATTATATACTAGCAGTGGGAATCTCTGGGCACCTCACGATTCGATTACTATACAGAGGGCTGCGATTCAATTATAAAACGATTATCGTTACATCTTGATGCATCATTTTTTCTATACAGGATCCCTGGATAATTACTAAGCATTTAATTTGAGCTTTAACATCCAAAAGAAACATCTGCTAATTAGCTTAAAAGGACTAGTTTGCATCCCTACTTTATTAACCTCGGCTCCATGGTCCCTCATTTCATTAACAACCAGTTGTCAGACTCCTCTGAAAACTGAAAAATAATAATCAGGATTTCCAATACAGGACAGAGCTGTACACCAGTTTAGTCTAAGCTTGTACCAGATGTTCTCAACCCTTGACTAGTTGGTTAGTTAGTACTGACATACAGCCGATAATTAATGTTACTTCGTTACTAATTTAGCTAACATTACATAAATAAATATTTTTAGCGCCTTTCACAGGACCCAATGACGCTTTATACATAGTTACAGTGACAGAACAACAAAAAGTCATTCAGGAGTGAATGCCTGGGTAAAGAGCTGGGTTTTTAGTAGATTTTTTAATGTCCAGACAGGGAGCATTTCAGGTCTGTGTGGGGATGAGTTCCAGAGGGTGGGGGCTGTGACGCTGAAGGCTCTGTCCCCAAAAGTCTGGTGTTGGGGAAGGAGAGCACGCCCTTGTACAGGGGAGATGTTAGCTAGCGATAACAGCCTTCACTTTTCCAGTAGTTGGGGGAACTTTTATTAACGGACACACAGTTACCTACGCTGCACGTTTACTACCAGACTGAAACTTACTGCACTTACTCCACTAACTTTCAGCGTCAGGTTTTGCCGCTCGCTCTCTCTCGCGCGGCCTCACACAGGATACACATAGAGCTGCCGAACCTCGAGTGTCATCATGCTCGCGGTTTGCGAGTTAAAAGCATTACTTTCTCATTGATATTAATGATTGTGTGACATTTTAGTAGGGTGGTTATTCATTCAGCAGTGGAGGTGTGCGGAATACAGGGGAACACTCACTGGTCTCTCTGTTGTGTGCGCTACACATGCAGTCCGGCCGCTGCCCTTCCGCGAGTTCCGCTTTTTGCGTTCCGTCAACATTATTACATTACATTACAGAACAATATATACATTATTATTATTAACATCAACTAACATTTAATAATCGATTTTTATACATTTGTTAATCGATTCATAATCTTCCACGTCCGCATCGCGATGCATCTAAGAATCGATTAATTCTCCCATCTCTATTATTATTATTATTATATTATACAGACGTGTAACAACTCGAAAATCTTGTTTGATTTGATGAATTTTTATGTTTTATGAATTAGCTTTGAATACAGCAAAAATGCCTGAAAATATGTTGTTGTTTTCCATGTTTAAAGTTATTACAATATTTATTTTGATAAAAATATAAAAATTGAATAATTGCCTCCTTTAACTTGACACATTAGACTTATTCCTCAGTGATATGCATATAACAAAAACAGTGCTTTACAACAAACTGCCAGATGAAAGATGTATCAGCTCAACAACAGCACTTTGTTGCACAACAATTGAACAAAAGGCAAGGCGAATTATTACATTTATGTAAATGCAAAGGTATTTACCATATTCTGAACTGATGAGATTGACACTGATCTCCTCTCCTTTCGAGGCCTTCGCCACCTCAATCTTCTTTGACCAGCTTCCACACTTCAACAACACCAAGTCACTGGAAAACCAACAAGAGGATGCCTGCTGAAAATCAATATCCTATATCCACTCAAACCAGGTTCCGTCTTTAATTTACATAATGGTGAAAGGTCTGTGTTCTGATTTAATAAAGTAATTCTAGAGAAATACATGTTAAGTGAAAGAAAGCAAAGACAACACAACATTTGTTGGGAGACTGGGTTTCACCTGAGTTTCTGTAGGAAGACCACAGTGTTGTCAGTGTTTCCGATGATCAGAGAGACATAGTGGTGTTCTGGAGCTGTTCTCCTGGACAGCAGCTGCGATTGATTTTTTAGGTTCACCTTTACCACAATCTCTGCCGTAGCACAGCTATACCTTGGAAGCTACAAAAAAAAGAAACAACTTTAAAGAAAAAGGATTAAAAGTGAAAAGCTCTATTATATGAGGTAATAAAACATTTTATTTAAAATAACTTGGCAACATCTTTTACCTGCTCCAAAGTAACTTCATACTTTGGGAGATTTATGACAGATTCTCTGATTTGGTTACCAAATGGTGGGTGTCTATTGAGAATCTAAATAACAGAAATACAGTTAGAAAAAAATCACATCCAGATTCTTTTACAATAATTACCCAAAAATCTTTATTCAACATTTTTTTATGTATGTATTTTGTGTTGATAGGGTATTAACAGTTTTCAGACAGTGCTAAACGTAACAGTACCTGAACTATTAAAATCAGCTTTACAGTTGAAGCATCACAATGTCTACATTGCCACAGATCGAGCTCAATTAATAGTTTATATTATTAAGCAGTGTTTTCTTTTTAAATATTATACATACTGACCAGCTCAAGCTCTCTGGCATTGGTTTCCTCTATTTTGCTGAAAGTGGTGAGTCCAGCGTTCACCATGGCAGTGGATAGGGTCTGGCCTAAAACACACAACTTGTACATTTAATGTGTGGTTTATTAATTAATCCATAATGTACAACAATGAGTGTGAACCACTCAAATTATTATATTTTAGTACTATATTTACAATGCTCAGATAAAAGGTCCTATACTATGCTATGTCTGTGTATCCACCTATCTTCTCCAGCTGTTTGGAAACATAGGGCGAGTTTTCCCAAAGCTTGGCTCTGAAGCACTTAGCCAGGATCAGAGAGTTGAGCAGGGCAGAGAAACCCATCTTGGATCGCTGACTCAAAAACTCAGACAGACCTCATTGGGATCAAAAACAATCAAAGTTAAAACAAATACAGTCAAAGGGCACTTTGTTCATTTGTTATCCCTGAGTTACCCAACATACATTTACTGATGCGCATCCCATTCCTGAAGATCTTTGCTGTGTCCTGTGTAAGTCCAAACTCTTGAATTGGGACGGAACCCAACTGAGCCTGAATCAAGCTAAGGACAAAGCAATAAACACATCATTTGTATAGTGGTCAGTCAGTAAGAACTTCATAATATAAATTCTGCAATAAAACAGTGTTCCTTCTTTATTCAACACTGCTTTTCCACAGCTTTTAAAGCGCTGAATGAATAAACCTACCAGTTCACTTTCATCTCACTGTTTTTGATCTTTCCCTCAATGGGAAATCTGTAAAAATACATAAACATCTCATTACAATGGCGTGTGTCTCCCTCTACCACATGCAATTCCAATCTAAAAGTTAAAAACAGGGTTTGTGATACTGTATGGGCCACTGTCAATACAATAAATGTGTCTGACCTTATGGTGATCCTGTTCTTGTCCCTGTTCAAAGTGTTCAAGAGCCTCTTCTCGTTCATTCTCAACTGAATCTCGTTGAACTCTCTGCTCTTTGACACCAACTCAATCTGTACACACACACACACACACACACACACACACACACACACACACACACACACACAGACACACAGACACACAGACACACACACACACACACACACACACACACACGTTTGATCTCGATAGTATTTTCATTGCAATGCCTTACCGTCATACACCTGTTTCTTAAAATAAATTCATTAGTACTGTGCAGTCTTATCGGGAAACCTACCAGGTCAGACAGGTTTTCAGTGCCAGCCACTTTGCTGAAATGTTTCATGGTGTCAAAGGCAACACAGTACCTAGCCATCAACCTGCCGGCCTCTGCAAGGAACAAAAACAAGCTACTGAACAGCTTCGTGTGAATGTCAAGCTTAGTTGAAAAAGAAAAGTGTAGTTAGTAAAAGTAAAAAAAATAAAATAAATAAACTAATGCAGAGTTTCCCAAACATTTAAACAAATTTCCTCTCTACCTGTTGGTTTGATGTTTATATCCTCATCCATGTCGATCAGACCAATGGAGGACAGAGAGTTGAGGTTCTTCAGACACAGTTCTATGAAAGGACAAAGAAACACCTCAAACTACAGTAGTGTATGAATGTGTTATGTGCACAATTAACCCAAAAATTCAGAGAACAGACAGGAGCAGTCAGTATAGTGTTTTAATTCATTATATGCATATGTACAGTGGATTCTCATTAGATCATCCTCTTCATAGCAACAGGCTACTTAAGTGGCTTCAAAGACTTCAGATATAATAAGGCCCACCTTGTAATTTTGCTTCAATTCCATATCTGTCCAGGTCAGCAGAGAAACCTGAAATTGGAGTTGAGGCACGTTGCAATGACTGGTTTTACATACAGTTGTGACACAGTAGCTGGACACTAATTCTGATAGACATCATTTTCTGTGTTTGTGTTTGAAGCTCTGACCATAGTGTGTGGGGTTCTTGAGGGCTCTGATGTAGAGGAGGGTGGAGCGTATCCAGTCCAGAGCCATGTTGACATCACTGATGGTTTGGAGAACAATCTCAGCATTCAGGTGCTCCACCAGATGTGCGTGTAAGCTGTGGAAAAGAAGTATACTGTTACCTTGTGTATGACTGTACAACTTCTCTCCTATGAGAGAGCAAGAGTCAGCCTGAGAGTGACTGAGTTGTAATACCTGCTCTCAATGATTTCCATCCCATTCATAAGTTTCATGTACTTGTCTTTGGTTTGGATCTTGGTCATGATCACTGCAGTCGCTGATGTGTCAAACTAGAAGAAGCAAAGACAAATGTTGCCATCGTTCTTATTTCATTTAATGTATTTAAACACATTTCCATAACAGCTTTAGTTACCTGCAGGTAATGGTGCATTTTCAAAAATCAATGAAGAGAAATGTACCTTGTGTTAAAATGGCACAGCCCCAGTAAAAAAGTAAAATATCTTTATACCTTTATCACAAATACCTTGTTGTGCTAAGTGAGGTAAGACAATTAATAAAGCATTCCTTTGTTATTCTGCTATTACTTGTGGTCTTCCAGCTCGGCCTATCATCTGCAGCAAGTCAGCCTCGCTGTACTCCTCACAGGAGCCTGCCACATACTGCATGGTGGACTTGATCACCACCAGATGAGCTGGCAGATTCACCCCCATGGCCAGAGTCCTGGTGGTAACTAGGATATAAAAAAAATCAGAACACAAGCACAAATTCAGTACCCAAGTAAAACAATAAAAACCTGATTTCAAGTTTTACCAGAAAGTGGCAAAAGTTTCTGATTGTTTTGTACTAGAGTGTGGTACATTTCCTGGTACACCAATAAATGCTTTAAAAAGCTATATTATTGTCAGGCTAATTTTATATCTATTTCTATATGGAAATGCCTTTATTGCGTCTCATAATTATTCAAACAGAATAAATATTTCACAGTCTCACTCTCCATTTCTACAAACCAGTGCATATCAGTTCAGTCATTATGGGTGTGAAAATATTGTGTATTGCTGTTGGTGTAAAACATCCCACTAAAGGTCATATAAAGTCATACTCTCTGCTATTTATATTTCCATTAAACAGTAGTTACAAAGCTTCTGCTGCGGACACAATATGGGTGAAATACTGTGACTCAGCCGTTGTAACCTGTGACACTCGTCTTTCCTGTTTTTTTTCTGCACCATTACAAAGAAAATAAAAACACAGGTCATGTTGTACGCTTATATAGTGACATATCTGTTTACAGCACAGAATAAAACTTAGCATTAGTGACCAAGTCTCACAGAGGACAGGCAGATCTCCCAGCGTGAAGGCCTTTTCTATCAACTTCCTATCAGACAAGTCAACTCCTGCATGGTGGTAACCAACTCCTAACATCACCAGATCTAGACCGCAAACAAAATACAAAATATTGTTAATACAGCTGATAATTAGAGCCTCAATGAAGTGAGCCTGTACTTTCTTACTGGGCCTGGACTGAAACTGATTTCAGAGTCGGTGTCTGGTGGGTCTTGACAAATAGGTTTCAAAAGTGAACTCACCTCTCAGTTTTGAATCCAGAATAGAGTTAGCGTATTTCATCAACCTAAACAGATCACAAAGAAACAAAAAGTCAAAAAGATCAAGCTTGCAGTAAATGAACTTAACTGAACAACACAATGACTTGATGAATAGTTGCACATGTGAGAACATGTTTGGATGAGTATGAAAAATACCTTTGCTTGTGCTCAATGCTCATGATGAACCGAGCATCCTTGGCCAGAACTGTAGCTGACTGCTGGACTCCTTTCCTTGTAGAGCAAAACTACAGAATAACATCATTATTAGCCCAAGAAGTAATCCCACCATCCTCATTAACTCTTAACCTTACACCCTTGTTCAATCGCATGAGAAAATTAAGAAGCAAAGCAAAAACACAACAAGAAAAAAGTTTGGCCCAATTTCCCCACCCACCACTAGTGTAGGTTTCTGGTCAGAATACGTTTGTATGATGTTGGCCATCTTGTAGTTGAGCGACAGGTCAAACTTGAACTCTGTCTGGTTTGGGCTGCAGGGGAATCCCAGCACCACCTTCCTCAGCTTCACTGGACGGTGGCTCTCATCCATGTCCAGGTATGTGGCTGGACCATTGTCATTAGACAGCCAGTCTGCTATCTAACAGCAGGCAGACAAAACAATGATCGGCCACGCGTTAATGACTCACATTAGAACTACAGTACGATAAGTGCAGTGATGCAGTGCCTTTTTTAATTTGTCACTATTTTTGAGCTTTTTTCTTACTTAATTATAAAACAGAGTCCTCCAATTACCATATTTATCTATGAATTATATTGTTCTGAAAGATTTGCCCACATTGCTTTTTGAATTCTCTATTCCAAAACACATCTCCTTCACTGACTCTCTTTCTCTGCCACCTACATCAGAGACGTTGGGTATGGTGGCCGATACAGCCACAAACCTCATAGAGAGGCCTGTCTCTGGATTCTGTGCTGTCCTATAGGCATGTACGGCCTTCATCCTGCTCACCACCACTTCCAGAGTGGCACCACGGGTCGCATCCTTCACCACATGCACCTGGAAGAACAAAATGTGTCATCTCACAGTTGGCTTTAGAAACCTCTTAAAGGTTCAACAACTGTGTTGGTATGTAGGTAAAATAAATTTAAGCTGTCTTTTATCAACGTAGTCCATTATTAACATGAGGAGGTGCAACTCAGTTTGGAATAACTACACAGGTCGTATGCACTCTCATAATACGCAGGCCCAGAACATGATGTATTATAATTTTTTAATGGCTAACATGTGAAATAAAGTGCTGAGGGCAGAGGCTAATGATGTTCCAACACGTAATGTGGCATAAAACAGACCCATCTTCTGGCACAAGTACATAGTGAGCATCCACCGTTATGCAAGCAGATTATGACATACAATAAAGACTGAAAAATGGGCCTGTGAACAACATATCTGACAAGTACACTGACCTCATCGATAAGGAAGAGCCTGACCAGCTGCAACAGACAGTTGTCCTTCCATTTTCTTGTCATGCTGTCCCATTTTTCCTGAGAAAAAAAAAATACATTATGTATTCAACTTCATATCGCAATTTTACTTTTGATTCTTGTCTGCCCTCTTCCTTCAGTTGTTGTTGGATTTGTGTTATTGAGATGCAGTATACTGTCACACACAGGCGTGGTCAAGATGATGTGTGAGTCCTGAATCTCAAAGAAGTCATCAATCTCTGTGTCGCCCGTCAGCTCCTTACAGCTCAGCCCCAGAGGACCAAACTTCTTCTTCCAGCTCTCAAAGCACTGACTGCAGAGAGCTTTGATAGGGGCCACTGGCAAGAACAAATGGAGAATCTTTTTACAAGACAGTTCTGTACTTCAGAAATACCACAAATCTATAATTGAATCAAAAATCAAAACACTCTGGAAATGACACGCCAAGAAAGTCTGTTGCTCTTCACTGACTTTAAGTTGTATTTCATTAGGTGTAGGATTTCTGAATTTTGATATTTGAGCTGACGGTATATAACAGCACAAGCTTTACTAACATTGGTAACATGTATAAACAGTAAAGTAAATCAGGGCTCTATTCCAGAAAGCAGGTTTAACAAACTCTGAGCCTAACACTGAACTCTTGATGAACCCAAAGATGGAAATCTCTTTTGCTGCAGAACATCTGATCCATTCAATCAACTCTGAGTATGTTCGCTCTGAGTTAAGCTTGTGTGTGTTGAATGAAAGAAACCATTGTCACTATATTACATTTTAAATATAATTGTTCATCTTTAATCTGACAGGGACTAAACACACAGGCCAGCAACTAAAGATGAAAATTATAGCTTAAAATTTACAGGTGAAAGACCTAGAGACATGATTGTAAGCTCACAATCTGATTACAGTGGTAATGTGTTTGGTGATTTGCACTTGAAAAGACTTTGAGGTTACAATAAAGTAGAATTTAAATTTTTGACATCTATTTGGATCTGGCCTTCACAGCATTCATTGAGTTTATTTCAGCTACTGTAATAGATGTAGTACATTTAAATAAAGTCAGTGAAATGCTATCAATCAGACCATACGCAGCCTATTCTGCAGCTGCACCACAATCCTGCTTTCTCACAAATATTAACATAAAATCTCCAATATTACAGGAATTATGTTCCAACAGTGCAGCCAGTCACAACATGGGTGATAGAGATATTTACTCATTGATCCCACGTGTCTAAAGCGTTATACCGATTGTTACAATTTCTACTGAGATTAAACATTATGTGCAATAAACATTTTAGTAGAACTGCTCTAACAAACAGCTGTGTACTATTTGAATGTGAGGGCAAAAAACACTGTTCAAACAAATTACTCCTGAGTAACAAACTGATATCCAAGCAGGACTTAGATTATGAGATCCAGTAAACCTCCGCTAAATAATGTGCTTTGATACGCGCTTTGATACGCTCCAACAGTAACTGACCCAGAGCTGAAGTTACCTCTCTTTCTGCAATTGAAAAACTCAGAGCTTTCCTTATCTCAGGGATAACAAGTTCAAGAGTTTTCACTAATCTGTGTTTAGTGTTTTGAATCAAGAAAGAAGAAAAAAAGAAGAAAGGTGTTCCATGTTCATTTTTCAAGTCTTGAGAGTAACACAGTTTCAGGATATTTTCTTCATTTCCACCTATTTGCTCACTATAGACAGCTTTGATATCTCTCCAGGGCTCTGAGGTCTCCATTAGCAGACGAACGATAGCTAGCTCAAACAGCACTGTTTTACCAGATCCAGTGGGAGCACATGCTACAAAGTTCTTCCCCGTGTAAAGAACCTGTGAACAAAGCAAACATTAATGCACACGAGGAAACACTCACAGTTACCTATAACAGGTTATAACAAAACAACGCAAACCATCATGTTATCCCCAGCATTCTGTTTTCAAGTCTTTCATTTGACACTTACATCATCTAGTGCTTTGGACTGAACGTAGTTGAAAAAGGGGAACTCGCTGAAGATGGATCTGAACTTGGCTGCTGTGTTAGCACGGTTCAGGAAATCAAACCACACCACTTGTGAAATTGCATTCCAAGCATTTTAGCCACATTTCAAACACTGTTTAACCATTTAAAATTGTGTTGACTTACACAACAACAAAAAGGATACGGATTTCAGAAACTGGTCGCAAAACTCCACACCCAGAAGACCCTAAATTGTGCATAATCAAAAACATACTCATTCCACCTTGATGTTAGTATGAAATGCTTAAAAGAAACAAAGGGATTTGTATGAATGTAAAGTAAAACTGCAGAAATTACTGTAGATTACATGTGGTTACAAAGCTTTCTACTGTTACTGTTTCTACTGCTATACTGTCCACCACCTAGTGACCAGCATGTTTCATTACAATGGAGCGGTCACTGAGGGGAGCTCACCTCATTTCACCTCATCACACCCAAATACATTGTGGCAGCTGCTGCCATGGCTAGACATGGGCATGCTCATTAGCTGCAACATTTTACAGAAGCTATATGAGTGTTATTTGGTAAACCAGTCATAGACAATGAGTCGAGCATCTGTCTGTGACTGTGTCAGTGCAGTGCAGCACCTTGTATGCGGAGCGGCTGAGGCGTCATGGGCGGAATGAAGGCTCTCTTTGTGCCCTTGTCCTGCATCTCTGCATGTGCCGCCTGCTGCGGGGGTCTGCCACTCGCTGCAGATGAGCCCAGAGGAGGGGGTGAGAAGGGGCACTTGGGGGGGAAAGGAGGAGTTGCCTGGTTAACTGTCGCCCGTGGCGGCAGAAGAGGAGGAGGCACTGTCGCCATGGTAACCCGACCGAGAAAAGTTTGAGGTCTGGATGCTGTCTGGCTGCTGCCGCCGCTGTTACTGAGGTCATCTATGTTTGACAAGTCACCTCCATTGTTCAACACCTGAACCTTAAACAAGCTGGGGGTTGGGAGAGGATGGGATACGGAGGGAATAAAGAATTGAAAGAGGAAGATGGCAGAATGAGAGAGAGGATAAATTAGTGCCGCTGCTGCAAGCTTAGAGGGTTTTTTGAAAAAGGCCAGGCATTTTGGCCTCTGGCAACAAGGCTAACATGGAGGATGGTTTAGCATCTTTTTTTCATGTTCTTCTTATGAACTGTCCACTGATGTAAAAACCAAGCCTCTTCAGTATACACTGTGGTTCCATTTTAATTAAGTGCATCATGGATTCCAACAATTTGAGGGATTAAAGAGTGAATCAGCACTACATTACATTTTTGGACAGCAAAATATGGAAACATGGCTTTTATATAGCAGATAACAATAATCCTGCTAATTTAAGTATGTTTTAAAAATTGTTCTGCATCTGCCTCCAAGGAGAGAAAATCCTTGTTTGCTTTTTATGGTCTGAAATCCTTTACCATTTTGTACTCAAGGCCACATATGAATCTTTGAGCCCAAATGCAGATGTGTACTACAAGAAGATTGCCTGAAAACAATGTCCATGCACTCTTTAATGCATGTCAATGTTGTTTTGACAAATAGCTGACACTTGCCTTCTCCGTAAAGGTTGGCTTTTGCTGCAGTCTAGAGGCAGACACATTCGGCTAATGGCTGCATGACCAGAGTCCTGCGGGGTTTCATCTCCACCTCTGGCACTCTGACAGGCACCCTGAGAGTAATCCCTGAACCCTTCACCTCCCCATAGGTCATCACATCTGCTGGTGCTGCCACCCTGAGTTTCAATCTCTTTCTCATCATTGTTATAACTGTAAGGACTGTTTATGTTTGATGGTAAGACCTTAAGACCAGTTGATCCTTTGAAAGGAGGCAGAAGCTTCTTGGGTTTCTGTGAGAAACCTGTGAGTAATATTAGAATAAAGAGGGAGAGAGAGTTTCATCAAATCAAGTTGGTGGTAGCTGTAAATTGGCGCGTTGACAAAATATAGAAAAGGAGATTTACCATTCCAGTCACTAATGATAAGAATATATCATATGACCCAGATCCCGGTTTGTTTATGCAACCAAGGAAATTGGGAATGCTTTCAAGCCTATTCAAGATATTGTGTCAGTGAGTCACACAGTTAAAATTAGTAGGGCTTCAATAGGCCAGATACTGAGCAGTTTACTCAAGTCAAGTGAAAAGGAATTCACCCTAATCCAGAGCACAACATACTGTATAGGGTAGAGAGAGACTCTGCTTCCTCCTGAATGTCCTGAGTGGCAGGAAACTGAGAAAGACATGGAGGCACTTCCAGCTGCCATGGACTGGCCTCTTGGTACAGTGGCTTTCTGTCAAATACAATCCAAAGGGAACAAAACATTAATTAGGCTGAGAGGGGAAGAAGAATTAGAAGAGCGGCGTGATGGCATCTCTTTGTACTCACACTTTGTGGACAATGGGTTTCTCAAAAAACAGATTGTCCAAAGACAAGGTGCAGTCATCAGAGTCCAACATCTCATCAGATCACGTAGGCGCTCACGAATTTGAGTGCAAAGCGGGGCAATGTCAATCTACTCACTGTGGATTTTGGATGGGGACATCTGGTTTAAAGAAAAAACAACCCAAACCATTTTTCTCTCATAAGATCCTCAGATAAAACGCATTGAGTGGTCACAAAACACTAGAAAGGCGCTATAAAAATACAGACCATTTACTGTTTAGGGAGTTAAAGAAAGAAATATTCATTACATTACACTCCTGGACACAAAAAAAATTTGAAATATGTGGCTTACATATAGTTAGCAATATTCCTGTTGATTTAGCTCAAATATTTAACATATCTATAGATATGACATGGCTGACTGTGTCATAAATAGCCCACCTGCTGAACAAAGTTATATGAAAAATGTTCTTTATGAGTGATGTAGGTAAGTTTCTAAAACACTTACATAGACTGAAACAGTGGAGGTAACAATTAACTGGGCTTTGTTAGCTTTAGCTGGTGTTAGCTAGTGAACAACCAGCTAGCAACATTAAAATATTAAGACGTATCAGCCAACTTTACGGTTATCAGTTAGCATAGCTACCTAATATAGTTTAAGCAAGGACCTTTATCATTTTCAAAGTTATGTGTACTATTTTTTTCGTTGTGTTACCTTACCCACCTGTGATATTAAGACCAGGTTTAGTCAGGTCGAAGCTCGACCTTTGACCCCACTAACTTGCATTTGAGATTTTAGCTAGCGCCGGTTAGTCCAGTTTTCATCTGGACTAACGTCACCTTTATGTAGCTAGACTGAAAATACTAGCTGTAGCTAAATATTCTCATCAAAATGTAAGTAGGCCAGCCATAACAGATGTTTACCTTATAATTAATTTCATACATTGCTGAGTGTGTGTTCAAACACAACGTGTTTTCTCTGTGAATAACTGAACCGGCTCGTCACCGAGAGCAACAAAGACCTATGAGAAGACAAGCATGGGGGGGATAGTGGTAACATCTCTCCTGTGTTGGCATACAATTCTTGTCTGTGCATCAATGACAAGTTTAAATAGCAAAATAAAAGGTGCTCTTTAAAAATAACAACCAACTAGTAACTGAAGTTTCATTTTATTTTATCAATTAATACGGTGATTAACCTCCATCAACCTAAAAAAAATGCTACTCAAAGGAGATGGTCATTAACTCAGGTTTTTTATGCCTCCTATCTGGAATGAACCATTACAAATCTTTCGGGGGAACATGGCGCCGACTCGTAACATTACGTGACGAAACTAGACGAGACAATAACTTCAGAAACTGTTTAACTATACTTGTTTTATCAGACAGTTGAACAATTACACGTAAGTATTGGAGTATTTCTTTGTTCTGTTCCTCTTTAACCAATTGTATGTACGGTTACCCTCACAAAAGAAATGATCTCTCCCAAACCAGACCACCACGGAAAATGGCGACTGTGAAATAGATGGAAGACGAAAGTAAGAAATAATTCAATGCAGCGTACAAATTGTGCTCTGTCTCCATCCGCACCGCTCGGAGGTAATGTTTGTTTGTTTTTCATCATTTTAGTGATGTGTATATATAGTAAGTAGCGAGGGACGACTGTCATTAGCTATAGGTTAGCCTGAGGAATAGGTTTTGGTGTGGAACAGCCTTAATGGAAAGGTCTGCAGCTCCTGCAAGCAGCATCCAACAACACAGCGTGATATAAACGCCAAAGAAATGCAATGATACCCGTACGGAACATGATATAAATAATCCCATTTGTTCTGTATGTAGGTACCTTTGTGGACATATCCCAACTATTGTGGGTTAACTGAACTAACGTTACTGTGCTGAAAGTTTTAGCTCTGTACAAAATCCACAACCGCTCATCAAAAGCCATTTACGTTGTCCACCCCTTTGCAGTTTTGGTGCTGCTGTGTAGATGTTAAAACACCTTTCGCTGCCACAGGAGCATTCACTTGGTATGACACTTTTATCGCCCTTCAAAAGGCAAGACCTCTCAACCGGGCGACCTTGGTTATAAATGGCCTCAGTTAATCTGCGATGCAAAGTGTCAAGTATAGCGTTATATTATATTTAGCTGTATTTACTTTGTAGTAAGTGAATGCTGATTGAGTCAAGAAGCTAACTCTGGTCACATTGTAAATAACTACATTTTTACTAGCTGCCACTACTCGACTAGTCCTTTGTTCAAGCCATTAGTCGACTAACTGTTAAGTATACTTCTGTGTCAAATCGACGGCGTAACCTCTGCGTGGCCCCCTACACTCCGCCGTCACCTACACCGTAGCCTGACGTGCACCTCCTCAAAAATGTAACTACATTTCAAGGCAAGGTGACCTTAAGAACTGTGATTGGTCAGCTGGGTAGCCTCTCAATGCCTCCGAGCTGACAGGAAGTCCCCATGCTTTGAAGTAAATTTTACTAGCGGCCAAACCAGTAGCTGTAACAGGGTGGATCAATATATTTGAGCGTCCCAACCCGAGCGAAATGACTCGTTTCATTATCAAAATGTGATCCATTTGATCGATAACATTTGAAAAGTCTATAATAGCCACACGTATACAGTTTTACCCCCATTCAAGTTAGCGGAGGGCTAAACCAGAAGTTAGCCTGCTCGGCCAGCAAAAGTCAACACAGTGGACCCTGTAACGTTAGCGCTACCAACTAGCGTTTGGCGGTGTAGTTGAAGAACAACGGAGAAACCAACGCACAAGTATAAATGCATGACTATGTGTGTAGCCTACAGCGTAGCTATGCACGTAAACCCGATGCAGGAGTATAAATCACACAGTTGTTGCATGTTTATGAAATATGTTAATTTAATTATTTAAATATATATTTTTGGGGCATCTAAAATGGTTTATGTTCCAGAGCTGAGAAAAAGTGTTTTAAGTAACATTGTTAAAACTGTGTTAAAGAGGTGGTATTATGTTTTTTGGCTTTTTTTTATTGAGTTATCTCTTTTTTTTGTGCATGTAACAGGTTTGCAAAGTGAAAAAGCCCAAAGTCCAGCCCAAAGGGAGTTCCCATCTCCCACAGAAAATACTGCTCTGAACCACTTGAAAACAGCTCATTTGTAGTCCAGCCCTTCACTTCCTTTACTTGTGACATCACAATGAAAATGCGTCATAAAGCTTGCCAAGCGGCTAGCGGGGTCAGGCACGACCTCAAACCAAGCTAGTCTGAGCGGAGGCCCTTTGGCTCGACTCGCCTTTGTTTGGGTTTCCATTGTAGAAATGTTGTACCTTTTTCTTATCACCTCACCTCCGTCGAGGTTCCAAGCAAGCTGAGAGATACTAAAATGTAATGTGAAAACACGAATGCTGACTGGTCAGAGAGAATCGTCACTATTCACTGCAGCATCATTGCGTACGCCAGACAGAGGCCAGCAACAGAAAGTTTTATATTTTACAGATTCCGTATGTAATTTCATCACTAAATCTACTTCTGAGAAGTTTTGAGTTGAGAAATCAACTGTAAATTTTGAATATTGACAGTTTTACGAGAAGTGATGGCGGAACAAAAATGTGCTTGAATATTTTCGGAGTTGAGGAGCTCTGCAAGTGGCTGCGAGGGAAGCCTGTGCCAACCCGCGGGAGGAGCGTGTGAGGCCGGCCAGCCACCCGCTCACAGAGCCCTCTGCTCCCGCCGTGGTTGTGGACATGAGTAACTGTCTGAAGCGACTTTGATTTGGATCACATTACCTTGTTTCTTACGACCCGCCCTTCTCTGCTTCTGATTGGCTAGTAGTCCTTACCTGGGAACTGTGCATGTGCAACTCCCAACAAAGATCTTGTACAAGTAAGATGCATCACTCTGTAGCTAATGAGCGGAGCGTACAACACATAGGGTGAAAAGAGGAGCTGCAGCAATGTGCAGTATGAGAAAAATATGGTGTTTTTTGAAAATTAAACCATGTAAACCTGTTCTGGTACAACCCCTAATGAAGATTTTGAACCTAAAAATGAGCATAATACCACCTATTTAACATGGCAGAGTAATGAAATACATTGTGTACAAGTGGCATGAGTGAGCCGCATTAACAACAGCAAGGAGAGTAAACATGTTGTTAATTTATTTCAACAAAGTATAACATCACACAAGTCTCATTCTTCCAAGCGCGGGAATAAATAACTTCAACAAATACTCGCAGACTATCAACAAGATGAATGATGTATAACGGAATTTTTAAATTTACTCATTACAAACTCGGCCGGAGCCACTGCAAATCGCCATGGTACTGTATTCCCTGTCGTCAAACTGGCCTCCGTTGGTCTCGGGATCTGTGTTCGGTCCCAGTTCATGTGTGAGGAGGCTGTTGCGCTTGGCTTCTGTTCAGGTGCTCATTCTGGTGGTGGCCCAGAGCTCCTGTGCTAGTGGTGTAAATAAACACCAACACTCCCTGGTATTTTGAGGGCCCAATCCAGGTAGAGTCTGCTAGTCCGCTAACTGAGCTTAGCAGCTAATAGCAGAGCTTACAGTTAAGAGTAGTGCCTTGTATAATAATACCATAAACATACGTCTATGAATAACACATCAGTGAGCAGTCAATGGTTGCACGCTGGTATGTGACTTCTGTGTTACAAAAGAAAAAGTCAGTGTTTCAACAATCCCCTGATGCTTTTGTAACAGGCCTGGGGTTGGACTGCACAGTCCTGACTCACATGGGAGGCGTCCACGTGGTAACGAGAAGGCTAAAACCCATAGGCGCTTGCGTCTGTCGCTATCACGTCTCTTAAGGCGTCAGGTAGTGAGGTTTACTCGCTGGCTACCATTAACACCCACCCCCCTAAACCTCACTCCCATCTGTGTCACAGCACTAATGTAACCAGCCCGAGGTTGTACTACACAGTCCTGACTTGAACTCGCTAACGAGGAGGCTAAAACCCATGGGTGCTAGCGTCTGTCTCTAGCACGTCTCTTAAGGCATCAGGGAGTGAGGTTTTACTCACTGCATAGCCAAGCTGGCAATTTTCGTCACAGCCGTAACAACTAGGTGCAGCTTCTGAATGGAGTTTGAGGTTGTTGGGGTTTTTTTCTGCGACAAACTGACCAATAAAAACTTTGTCGACAAAGACTCTTATCATCAGCTAACAGTTTAGTGGACTATTTGGGGGCAGACCTACTTTTTACTTTTCACATCAAACAAGCACTTTCTCATAAGCAAGAACTACCTATTGCAAACTATAGCCTAGCTCGTAAAACATAGGTAACATTCAGTGTTGGACATATAAAAGCCTGAAGGCTCATGTCACAGTTATGCTTCTGACATTTGCTAAGGTGTGCTAAAAGCTGCATCTAATTATCATCTTAACCATTACTGATTTACATTTGCATTATATGGCTGCAACTAATGATTATTTTCATTATTGAATCGATGAATTGCTCAGTCAATAAAATGTCAGAACAGTAAAGATAACCCTTTTAATATCCATAAACCTTCAAGTAACTTGTTTAGTCCGACTAACAGTCAAAAACCCAAAGATTCGGTTTTCTGTCACATAAGACACAAATTCGTAAAATTCAAAGCAGCAAATTTGTACAATTTAGACAATGGAGTTGGGCAATGTTTGGTATTTGAGCTTGAAACATAAATAGTTTAAGATTCTAAAAGTTATAAGCCATAATAGCAGCTTCTAGTGGCTGTAATGCTCATTACACTCTACACGTGTGATTATTTAGTACCAACAATCTAGAGACAATTTTGCTGTTCTTAAGAGTCTGAATCTAGATTTAGTCCTCTGCAGTGAGGTGAAAATACATACGAAGCCTACATACATACATCAGCTAGTGCTAATGTGCAAAAAAAAAAAACTAAATGTCGCCACCACCAGGACTACGTAGAAACGGCAATAACTGTATTTGTTCACCTCGCACTCTAAGTCCACTGAGTCTGCCTGCATCGTATTACGGCGGCTGCTGGAGCTGATCTCGGCCATTCTAGTCAGTGCAGCGCGTCCCAGAAGCGAGTCTATTTTTGACGAAAACACGCACAGTTGCCGGATTATGCCGCAAACATTGGAATGAGCGAATGCAAATATTTAATAAAAAATCAAGTCCTTTTTCAAGTCATATGCCATGTCAAGTCTAATTCTCAAGTCATGAATACCAAGTCAAAGTCAAGTCGAGTCTTTCAA